CCAGCAGATTCAGGAAAAGGTGCCGAAAATTATGGGGGCTGAAATTTGATATAAAATCTCTAATGCTATGTAAACCCATAGAGTTGATTCTTGCTTTAGGTTGCCATTGAAAGTTGGTATTTATTTAAATCTGGCCGTATTTTTATTTTGGTTTATATTGGATTTTTAAAGCATAATTTACATGCCATGTAATTTATCCACTTAAAATGTGTAATCCTAGCTACTTAGGAAGCTGAGATCTGAGGATTGTGGTTCAAAGTCGGTCCAAGCAGGAAAGTCCATGAGAGTCTTATCTCCAACTAAACACTAAAAAAAGCCAGAAGTAGAGCTACATATAGCACGTGAGGTAGAATGCTAGCCTTGAGTCAAAGAAGCTAAGACAGTGAGTGCCCAGGTCCTGAATTCAAGTTCCAGGACTGGCACACACGTGTGGGTGCACACACACACACATACACACACACAAATTGTACAAATCTATGTTTTTGTTTATTCACAAGGTTGTACAATTGTTACAGTTTTAGAATATTTTTATCCTCAAAAAGAAATTCCATACTTTTTATAACCCACCTTCTCAACCCTCTTTACTAGAGTAACTACTAATATACTTTTTGTTTCTATAGATTTTCCTATTCTGGACATTTTTCATGTAGAGTCATACAATATATGACTTTTGTGCCTTGATATTTTTACTTACTACAGTGTTGTGTTTATCAAAGTTTCATTTTGTTTTACATATATTAACATTTGATTCCTTTTTTTGGAGGGGTGCATTACACCTTGGTTTTTGCTCATTCCTTTTAATGACTAAATAATATTCCAGTGCATATGCTGTATTTTATATATTCATCAGTTGGTGGACATTTGAATTATTTGTTTTTGGCTATTGTGAATAATATTGTTCATGTATAAATTTTTGTTTTAATATTTCTTTTCATTTCTCTTGGTTATACGTAGAAGTAGACTTTTTTTTTAATGTTTTGGAGAAAGGACAGAATGAGTTCATTTTACACTGCTACTTAGTAATGTATGAAGATTCCAGTTTCTGTATATCTTCACCAACATGTGTGCCACTGTCTTTGATTTTGGCCATCTAGAGTAGAGGTGGGGGATCTCATTGTGGATTTGATTTTTATTTCATTTATGACTGAGTTTCTTCTTGTGTATTGGATGTTTGTTGAAAATGTCTATTTGACTCTGCTTATGTCTATCTGTCTGTCTACCTATCTTTTTTTTTGGTTGTGGGGCTTGAACTCTGGGCCTGGGCATTGTTCCTCAGCTCTTCAGCTTAAGGCTAGAGCTCTACCACTTGAGCCATTGCACCACTTCTGGTTTTCTGAGTGGTTTATTGGAGATAAGAGTCTCACAGCCTTTCCTGCCCGAGCTGGCTTTGAACCACGATCCCCAGATCTCAGCTTCCTCAGTAGCTAGGATTACAGGCGATCTCAGCTTCCTGAGTAGCTAGGATTACAGGCATGAGCCACCAGTGCCCAGCTTGTCTACTTACTATTTAAACTGGGGCTTGAACTTAAGGCTTTGTGCTCTCCCTTGACTTAGCCACACTTCTACATCCTCATTTTGTGTGTGTGTGTGTGTGTGAGAGAGAGAGAGAGAGAGAGAGAGAGAGCGAGCGCGCGCGCGCATGCATGTGCATGCGTGCGTGCATGCGTGTGCATGCGTGCGTGCATGCGTGTGCATGTGTGCGTGCATGCGTGGACAACAGTACTAGAGCTTAAACTCAGGTCCTAGGCATTGTCTCTTAGCTTTTTGCTCAAGGCTGGTGTTGTACCACTGAGGCCACAGCTCTACTTTTGGCTTTTTGGTGGTAAATTAGAGTTAAGAGTCTCAAAGACTTTTCCAGTCTGAGCTAGCTTTGAACCATGATCCTCAGATCTCAGCCTTCTGAGCAGCCAAGATTACAGGAATGAGTCATCGGCACCCTTGCTTACTTTAAAATTTGACCATGTGACCTTTTGTTACTGAGTTATAGATGTTCTTTCTGCATTATTTGCAAAATGTTTATTCTCTTCTATGAGTCTTCATATGCTCTACAAAAGAGGTGGTTTAGTAGCCAGGCGCCGGTGGCTTACGCCTATAATCCTAGCTACTCAGGAGGCTGAGATCTGAGGATCAAGGTTCAAAGTCAGCCCGGACTTGGCAGGAAAGTCCGTGAGACTCTTATCTCCAATAAACCACTAGAATACCGGAAGTAGTACTGTGGCTCTAGCAGTAGAGCACTTGCCTTGAGCTGTATAGCTGAAGGACAGCGCCCAAGCCCAGAGTTCAAGCCCCACAACTAACCCGCCCCCCCCCCCCCAAAAAAAAAAAAAGGTGGTTAGGTGAATGGAAGTCTGCTTACAGACCCAGGGAATCTGACAAAGGTCTGGTATGTAAAAATTCTTGCAGGCATGGGTGGCGGCTGCCTATAATCCTAGTTACTCTGGAGGCTGTTATCTGAAGATCAGTGTAGAAGCCAACTGGGGCAGGAAAATCCTAGTGAGTCTTATCTCCAGTTAAGCATCAGAAAAGCCAGAAGTAGAGCTGTGACTTAACTGATAGAGAAAGCTCAGGGACAGTATCTGGACCTTGAGTTCAAGCCCCAGGACTGACAAACAAAAAAATTCTTAAAAGTTACAAAATGCAGTTAGACAATGGGCCAGACATTTCATCAGAGCAGATAATAAATACATAGATGGCAACTAAGCACACATACACAAAAATGTTCAGCATTTTAACCACGAGGAAATGTAACTTAAAATGGTGATGAGACACTGGCAGTCAGCCCTGCCTATTCAAACAACTTGAAAAAATGACAGCATTCGTGCTGGTGCAGCCCCAGGAGTCCCTCACACATTGCTGGTAAAGTCAGGTATAGCAGCCACGAGGGGATGTTTGGCAGTTTCTTAGAGAGTTAAATACATACTGTGTGACTCAGAAAGAATATTGTTAGGCATTTAGTCCAGATAAATGAAAACATGTCCATCCAGAAACCTGTACATGAATGTTCATAGAACTTTATCTGTAACTCCCCAGAACTGGAAACAATGCATTTTCCATGGGTGAATGATTAAACGAATTGTGGTGTGTTCATACCATATAGAATGCTGCTCAGCAATTAAATGTGAGACTCATGTACACATACCACCACAGTTAGTCTCTCAAGAGTACTATGTTACAAAAAGTGCTCTTTGTACTGCGCGGGTCCATTGGTATAACATTCTGAACAGCATTCTGAAAAACGATAAGCAGACACAAAAACGTAAGTTGGGGGGCTGGGAAGGTGGCTCAGTGGTAGAGCGCTTGCCTTGCATGCATGAGGCCCTGGGTTCGATTCCTCAGCACCACATAAACAGAAAAAGCCGGAAGTGGCGCTGTGGCTCAAGTGGTAGAGCGCTATCCTTGAGCTGAAGAGCTGAGGGACAGCGCCCAGGCCCAGAGTTCAGGCCCCACGACTGGACCCAAAAAACAACAACAACAAAAAAAAACATAAGTTGGCTAGTTTAGAAACTATGGTGTATGGAGGGTGATGTAGCAATTCTCTTTACCTTGTTTGTAGACAAAGTGTACATGAGATAAATTGCAAAGAACTACGTATACACAAAGAAGTACATACATAGTTTGAAAAAAAAAAAGAAAAAAAAAATCAGGCCAGCAATGGTGGTACATACCTGTAATCCTAGTACTTGGGAGGCTGAATGAAGCGGGAAGCAGGAAGCCAGCAAAAGACAGTATATAATTACTGGAGCAAGATGTTAAACCTAAGACTTGAAAGCATTAAACCTCATGGGCATCGGTGGCTCACATCTGTAAACCTAGCTACTCAGGAGACTAAAATCTGAGAATTGAGGTTCAAAGCCAGCCTGGGCAGGAGACTCTTACCTCTAAACCACTCAGAAAACCAGAAGTGGCGCTGTGGCTCAAGTGGTAGAGCACTTGCCTTGAGCTGAAGAGCTCAGGGATAGTGCCCAGACCCAGAGTTCCAGCCCCATGACTGACACTCCCCCCCCCCCCCCCAAAAGTATGAAGAATGAACTATTTGCATACTTCTTGTTATTTATAAACAAGGTTATATATATAATTTGTAAATGATTAAGTATTGTGAAACAATTTTTAATTGTTCAAAAAATTCTATATTCTCATGTAACATATGGAATTAAATTACTAAAATGGGCTTATATAAGTTTTGTTTTTTCTTGTTTTTTTGCTAGTCCTGGGTCTTGAACTCAGGACATGGGCACTATCCCTGAGCTTCTTTTGCTCAAGGTTAGCACTCTACCATTTGAGCCACAGCACCACTGCCACCTTTTTTGTTTATGTGGTACTGAAGAATTAAACCCAGGGCATTATACATGCTAGGGAAACACTCTACCACTAAGGCACATTCCTAGTCTTTTTTGTTTTTGTGCTAGTCCTGGGGCTTGAACTCAGGCCTGGGTGCTGCACTGAGCTTTTTTGCTCATTGCTAGTACTCTGCCACTTGAGACACAACTCTACTTCAGGCTTTTCTATAGCCTTATTTGGAAGTAAAAGTCTCATGTACTTACCTTCCCTGGGCTGGGTTTGAACCTTGACCTTCAGATTTCAACCTCCTAAGTAGCTAAGATTATAGGTGTGAGCCACTGGTGCCCAACAGAATTCTAAGGATTTTTATGGTGCTTATCTGTATTGATTAAATTTTGAGTTTTCTGTGTCACGTTTTAGTTTTTCTTTTCAGATTTTCATTCAATGTGGGTAGGATATTAGTTTATTCCAGCTAATGTGTATAGCCAGACATGTTGTACACGTCTGTAATCTCAGCATCCAGGAGGCTGATGTAGGAGATTTCATGAATTTGAGGCCAGCCGCCATAGGGAAACTTTCTCAAAACAGATAAATTAGTGTTTTGGTTTTTTTTTGTAGTAAATAGTGGTGTTTAATCTATTTTACTAAGGTATTCTGTTTTGTCTTTCCTATGGAATACAGAAATATAAAAATGCTTAATACAATTATTGGCTTTATTTCAGGGACACAGCAGGCCAGGAGCGATTTCATACCATCACAACCTCCTACTACAGAGGAGCAATGGGTATCATGCTAGTATATGACATCACCAATGGTAAAAGTTTTGAAAACATCAGCAAATGGCTTAGAAACATAGATGAGGTAAGATCTAGAAACTGAGTAAACACTTCCTTCCTCAACTTTTGACAGTCTGTCTAGAAACTATTCAAGACTATTATTAAGTTATCTAAAAACTATCCAGGTGTCTTTTACCATGGCCTCAAGAAAGGTGCTGACAGTGGTTTTTACAGTGCTTCTTGCTAAATGAGTTATTTCTCACTGAATTTTTATTGAGTAACTAACTGGATAAAAATTACACCAGTACTATAAAAATGATCAAGTTGCAGGAATGCAAAGTGCTTCTAGACATTTGAAATTTATAACTACTAATAGAGTAAAAATTCTACCAAAAAAGTAGTTCTGCATGTGAAGGTAATCTGTTTTATGTAAGATAAAGTTGTTTGTCAAAGTATGTCTTCTGTGCCAAAAGCTTAAAGCTTTTTGTTGTAGTTATTCCTCGTGCCTGTTGCTGCCTCTGCCCTACCATTTCACTGTGGCCAGTCCTTTAAAGCCTAGCTTTGACTGGGTACATGAGTAGTGTACCTAAGTATTAAATACTATGGGATCTTCAGAGAAAGGTGCTTTGGACCAGAAATGTTAGGTAGCTGTAGACACTTGTTCTCCTGTTCATTCTCTAATACAACCAGGTACTCTTTTTGCTCCAGTTTTTACAATATAAGACTCAGGTTCTTGTTACTGTTTGTGTATCAAACCAACTCAATCCTGTGTTTGTATAACACGTCTTGGTTTCTGAATGTTTTTGTGGTAAAATATTATTATTACTGGTTGGTCATGAGGCTTGGGCACTGTCCCTCAGCTCTACCGCTTGAGCCACAGCGCCACTTCCACTTTTCTAGTGGTGTATTGGAGATAAGAGTCTCATGGACTTTCCTGCCTGGGCTGGCTTTGAACTGCCATCCTCAGATCTCAGCCTCCTGAGTAGCTAGGATTACAGGCGTAAGCCACCGGCACCCGGCTGTGGTAAATTATTTAAAGTATTGAAAAACCCCTTTGGAGTTAGAGCCTCTGTCTTATTTAATGATGTACATCACTTCTATCTAAAAGAGTAGTCTCATGGGGCTGGGAAGTTGGCTCAGTGGTAGAGCGCTTGCTTGCCTTGCATGCCTGAGGCCCTGGGTTCGATTCCTCAGCACCACATAAGCAAAAAGAAAAAAGCTGGAAGTGGTGCTGTGGCTCAAGTGGTAGAGCACTAGCCTTGAGCTGAAGAGCTGAGGGACAGCACCCAGGCCCAGAGTTCAGGCCCCACGAACGGACATAAATAAATAAATAAATAAATAAATAAATAAATAAATAAATAAATAAATAAATAAAATAGTAGTCTCAGGAAGAATATTTGGCATTGAGAAAGTTATTTTTGTCACACTTGGGCAAAAAGGAATCGAATGGGTAGAAGTGAAGGTTGCTGTTGCATACCCTACAAGGAACATTGTCCTTCAGTTACCTGGCCTGAAATGTCAGAAATGTAACTGAGAAATCTTGTCATCTAAACTCATCTCCCTATATAGTACCTTCGGTAATTCTCCACAGTCTGGAGAATTTTTCCAAACTTCTACATAAGCATACCTCTTTTTGAATGTCTCTGTTATACACCTTTAAACTTGGTGTGATTTTGCCTGGTCTGGTTGTAAACACAAGTTCCATGTATCAAAGTGAAAAAGAGGTGTATGTATGATGATATAAGAAAATGTAGGGGGCTAGTGGCTCAGTGGTAAAGTGCTTATCTAGCATGCATGAAGCACTGGGTTCAATTCCTCAGTACCACATAAACATAAAAAGCCAGAAGTGGTGCTATGGCTCAAATGGTAGAATGCTAGCCTTGAGCAAAAGAAGCTCAGGGACAGTGCCTAGACCCTGAGTTCAAGCTCCATGGCCAAAAAAAAAAGTAATAGAGTGCCTGCCTAGCATGCATGAAGCCCTGGGTTTGATTCCTCAGTACCACATAAACAGAAAAAGCAGGAAAAGTGGAGCTGTAACTCAAGTAGTAAAGCACTACCCTTGAACACAAAGAGGCTCAGGGACAGTGCCCAGAATATGAGCTTAAGTCCCAGGACCAGCCAACAACAACAACAAACAAACACACAAACAGAAAACAAAAATGTGGGCTGGGAAGGTGGCTCAGTGGTAGAGCACTTGCCTTGCATGCCTGAGGCCCTGGGTTCGATTCCTCAGCACCACATAAGCAAAAAGAAAAAAGCTGCAAGTGGCGCTGTGGCTCAAGTGGTAGATGGCTAGCCTTGAGTTGAAGAGCTGAGGGACAGCACCCAGGCCCAGAGTTCAGGCCCCACGACCGGACCCCAAAAAAAAGAAAAAGAAAAAGAAAAGAAAAAGAAAATGTATGGGGCTGGGAAGGTAGCTCAGCTGTAGAGTGCATGCCTTGCAAGCATGAGGCCCTGGGTTCGATTCCTCAGCACCACATAAACAGAAAAAGCCGGAAGTGGCGCTGTGGCTCCAGTGGTAGAGCGCTAGCCTTGAGCTGAAGAGCTGAGAGACAGCACCCAGGCCCAGAGTTCAGGCCTCATGAACGACAAAAATAAAAAAGAAAATGTATGAAGAAGCTCTGTGAGCCTGAATGCTGGATTTGCAGCAGAGCCTACTTAACCCTCCTCATGCCTGATCTTTTTTGTTGGGACTCTCCTGTGATCCTAGCTATAACGATTTATTTAATCATTTTAACCTTTTAAAAAAAAAGGTTTTTTAAGGTTTTAACTTTTTTATTTTGAATTTTATTGTAAAGGTGATGTACAGAGGGTTTACAGTTACATAAGTCAAGTAATGAGTACATTTCTTTTTGAACAGTATCATATCCTCCCTCATTTTCTCCCAGTTTTCCCCTCTTGACCCTTCTTTCCCTTAAAAAAGTTTTAAACTGGATTCCAGTGGCTCATACCTGTAATTCTAGCTGAAATCTGAAGGTCATGGTTTGAAGCCAGCCTAGGCAGGAAAGTCTATTCAAATCTTACCTCCAATTAACCACCAAAAAGCTGGGAGTCATGGCTCAAGTGGTAGACTACCAACCTTGAGCAAAAAAGTTCAGGGACTGTACTCATACCCTGAGCTCAAACTCCAGGACTGGCATTAAAAAAAAAAAAGTACTGTTTTGTTTTGTGGTAGTACATGCTAGTAATCTTAGCACTAAAAGGTGAGGTGGGAGACTTAGACATTTGAAGCCAGGCTAGGCTATATTGTAAGTTCCAGGTCTGCCTGGGATATACATAGCAAGATCCTGTCTCCAGAGGTTGGGGCTGGTGGGGAGTTTTGGGTTTGTTTTCCCGAAATACTGTCTCAGCTGTGTTTCAGGTATTTCCCCCTCCTTAATCTTGCCGCATAGCTCTTTAGTGCTGTATAAAGGAGAATGATTAAGAAGGAAGAAACTAGAAACCAAGAAGAAGGTACTAAGGAAGTTTCCTGGGCTGATAAGGAATGTGTTATTGCTTAACTCAGAAATGTGTCCATGCTGGGTATTAGAATGCTTGTCATATCTGTTTGAAAACCTTGTTGACATTTTGAATAGCTTTTCTGATATGGTAGAGGTGTAACAAGGAAAGGTACTTTACCATTTGAGGAACATCCATCCTTTTTTTGTTGTTGTTGGTCATGGGCCTTGAACTCTTGAGCTCTTCAGCTCAAGGCCAGTGCTCTAGCACTGGAGTCACTGAGCCACTTCCAGTTTTCTGAGTGGTTTATTGGAGATAAGACTCTTATGTACTTTCCTGCCTGGGCTGGCTTTGAATTGTGATCCTCAGATCTCAGCCTCCTAAGTAGCTAGGATTTCAGGCATGAGCCACCAGTGCCTGGCACACCCATCCCTTTTATGCTCTAGTTATTTTTTAGGTTAGTTATTTTTAGGTTAGGTTAGTTTTTGTTCAGGACCAGCTTCAGAACATGATCTTCCTCTGTTTATGCCTCCTTTATACCTGAGATGACAGGCATGCCTTGATATGTACAGCTTATTTGTTGAGATGGGTCTACCTACCTTTTGTTTTGTTGGTTGTGAGGCTTGAACTCTCGGCCTGGGTGCTGTCCCTCAGCTCTTCAGCTCATGGCGAGCACTCTACCACTTGAGCCACAATGCCATTTCTGGTTTTCTGGTGGTTAATTGGAGATAAGAGTCTCATAGACCTTCTTGCCCAGGCTGGCTTTGAATCATGATCCTCAGATCTCAGCCTCCTGAGTAGCTAGGATTACAGGTGTGAGCCACCAGTGCCACTTGCCTAACCTTTCGTGTGGGCAGGTCTCAAACTATAATCTTCCTGAATAACTAAGATTATAGCCATGAGCCACTGAATCTGGCCTATGCTCAGTTTTTAATTGAAAGTTTTTTGTATTGTTGTTGTTGTATTTTAGGAGTTCATTAAATATTCTGGATATTAATCCCTTATCAGATATATGAAGTATATTTCTCCTATTTTGTGAGTTGCCCTTTTGCTCTCTTGAAGGCATACTGTGCAAAAGAGTGTATTAATTTGCTGCATACATTTGTTATATAGGGCATTTCATTGTGATACTTCCCTGCCTGTTTATAATGTATTCCGATAGGTTTCACCCTCTATCACTCTCCTATTGAATAAAAGCTTTAAATTTTGATGAGGTGCAATTAATATTTGGTGTCAGTCCTGGAGCTTGAACTCAGGACCTGGGTGCTTTCCCTAGGTGTTTTTGCTCAGTGCTTGTGCTGTACCACTTGAACCACAGCTCCGCTTCCAGCTTTTTTTTTTTCCCTCAGTGGTTATTTGGAGATAAGAATGTCACAGACTAGGCCGGATGCCAGTGGCTCACGCCTGTAATCCTAGCTACTCAGGAGGCTGAGATCTGAGGATCATGATTCAAAGCCAGCCTTGGCAGGAAAGTCTGTGAGACTCTTATTTCCAATAAACCACTAGAAAACCGGAAGTGACGCTGTGGCTCAAGTGGTAGAGCGCTTGCCTTGAGCTGAACAGCTGAGGAACAGTGTCCAAGCCTAGAGTTCAAGCCCCACTACTGACAAAAAAAAAAAAGAATGTTACAGACTCTTCTGCTGCCGTGGCTGGCTTCGAACCACAATCCTCATATCTTAGCCTCCTGAGTAGGTCGGATTACAGGCATAAGCCACCAGTGGCCCGTGTAATTTATCTTTTATTGCCTTTACTTTTGTTATTATACCAAGGAACTCATTGCCAGAGCAGTGTAATGAAGCTTTTTCTATCCATTTCCTTCTAAACAGACCTATAATTTTGTGCCATTTAGGTTTGTGGTCCCTTTTTTGTGTATGCTAGTACTGAGGCTTAAACTTGAGGCCTGAGTGCTGTCCCTGAGCTTTTGTGCTCAAGGCTAGGACTCTGCCACTTGAACCACATCTCCATTTCTGGCTTTTTGTTGGTTAATTGGAGATAAGAGTCTTACAGAGTTTCCTGTGTGGGCTGGCTTCAAATCATTACCCTCAGATTTCAGCCTCCTAGGATTGCAGGCATGAGACTCCGGTGTCTGGCTGTAATCCCTTTTTTTGTTAATTTTGTGATTTTCTTTCTTTCTTTCTTTTTTTTTTTTAAGATGACTTTGGCTATTTGGTGTTCCTTTAGAAATTCATGTGGAAGCCAGGCGCCAGTGGCTCATGTGTATAATCTTAGCTACTCAGGAAACTGAGATCTGAAGATCATTGTTCAAAGCCAGCCCGGGCAGGAAAGTCTGTGAGACTTAACTCCAATAAACCACCAGAAAACTGGAAGTAGTGCTGTGGCTCAAGTGGTAGAGCGCTCGCCTTGAGCTGAAGAGCTGAGGGGCAATGCCCAGGCCCTGAGTTTAAGGCCCATGACTATCCAAAAAAAGAAAAAGAAATTAATGTGGATTTTAGGTCGTCTCTCTATAGTATTTCAGCATAGGTCTCTGTAGTTTGCAAAAAAATAGCATTCAGATTTTGATAGGTAGACATTTGTTTTTATTTTTCTGAATGAGAGCTTATAATCTAGCAATGTATATGAGATTTAAGGATTCTATATAATTTTTCAGTTAAGGTTTTTATACCTTAGTAAGTATTATAAAATTCAAAATCATCATCTAGCCTGGGTTTAGATTATGTATAAAAATTTCTAAGTCTCAGATGCTTCATCTGTACTTTCTCTTGAAGAGAATAAATCTAGGAAGTAGACAGCCTCTTCTAGAGAATAATATTCCATGAGGATACATCAGTTTTTTTTTTTTTAAAGCAAGAGGCGATTGCTTTAAAACATTTGAGTTATACAAATGAAACAAAATCAAGAAAAATATTCAGAGAATATTGACCTACAATTCAGAGCAGTGTGCAGAAATACAATTTTCTTCTATTTTAGCATGCCAATGAAGATGTGGAAAGAATGTTACTAGGAAACAAGTGTGACATGGATGATAAAAGAGTTGTTCCTAAAGGAAAAGGAGAACAGGTAAAAATGTTTGAAATTGATGTACTGAACGTAAGAGTAATATTTGATTACTTTGATAGTTGTATAGCATTTGAGTAAATACTTTTCATTGCATATCCAACAGGTATGGGGAATGAAAGCTGTTGTAGGAATTGTTTTTGTTTTTAGTTTTCTTCAGGATATAAGGAGTGAAAAATATAAATCATTGATTCTCAGCTTTTTTAACAGTATTTTAATGAAGTGTATCAAATTAGTATGATTTCTAAAGTTTAACAATCAGAAAGAAGCCTGTGACAAACAGAAATTAAGTCAGTCACAGTGAGCTTCTCACCTTTTTTCCCCAGAGGAAATACCTGCTTTAGAATTTCTGAAATAAACTCTTGGGGTAAGGAGAGGATTATTTATGATAATTTCTGTCATCTTTGTTTTATATTCTAGTTGAGACCACTCACTGCCTTTAGAATGAAAATGACGATTTCCCCTAATATGTTAAGTCATTATTTGATTACCCACACTTGGGTTTATAATGTTATTTGCTTCTATTTTAGATTGCAAGGGAGCATGGCATTAGATTTTTTGAGACTAGTGCAAAAGCGAATATAAACATTGAAAAGGCTTTTCTCACATTAGCTGAAGATATTCTTCGAAAGGTAAGCTCCTGTTTAATTCTCTTGAAAACTGTCACATTTGTATATTTTATCTCTCCTTAAATACTAAATTTACATGCAAAATTTGTGTTTGGGTGGCAGCATTCCTGAAAGGTTAACCATTTGAAATGGATAATCTAATCCTTCACTTGGAATTAAGAATTTATAGCTAGCAAGAAACCATCCAGCAGCTGGAGGGATATAGTCAGGGGGAATGGTTGGCATTCTCACCTCCCGCAGTCACTCTCAAGTCCCAGTTCCATGGTCCTGTCTCACTTGCCTATCTACTTACTTACCTTCCTTCCCTCCCATCCCTTCCCTCCCCCCCCCACCCCCCAAGCGCATCTCTCTTTTGCTGGGAATCAAACCTATGGTTTTCTAGGCAAATACTCTACTACTGAAATACATCCCCCTTGCTTTTTAATCTGCCTTTTCGTTCTTGGGCTTATTTCTTTTCCAACAGATAATTTAAGGTAAGAAGTAAATCTCCTTTTTGAAAAGCAATCTGTGCTCACTGTAGAATCTATGTTTTTCCATACAGTTGCTTCTCAGGGTGATAAAGGTCCTACATAGATAGTGTACTGAATAAATATACTCACAGGTTTTATTTAGCCAGTCATTTCAAAATTATTGTGATGTGAAAAAATAAATGCTGAAAATGTAATATTAGGGAACATTTTTTTGATTTGCTTTATTTTTTTGTTTTTGTTTTTTTGGCTAGTCTTGGGGCTTGAACTCAGGGCCTGGGCACTGTTCCTAGGCTTCTTTTGCTCAAGGCTAACACCAGAAAACTGGAAATGGCTCGAAGTAGTAGAGCACTAGCCTTGAGCAGGAAAGCTCCGGGACAGCGCCTAGTCCCTAGAGCCCTATAACTGACAAAAACAAAAATAGTACAGAAACAGGAGGTGTGACTCAGTGGTAAGAACATCTGCCCAGCAAGCGTGAGGCCCTAAATTAAAATCCCCAATATTAACCCACATCAAAAAAGTGTTACTATAGGGCTGGGAAGGTGGCTCAGTGGTAGAGTGCTTGCCTTGCATGCATGAGGCCCTGGGTTCGATTCCTCAGCACCACATAAGCAAAAAAGAAAAAGCCGGAAGTGGCGCTGTGGCTCAAGTGGTAGAGCGCTAGCCTTGAGCTGAATAGCTGAGGGACAGCGCCCAGGCCCAGAGTTCAGGCCCCACGACCGGACCCAAAAACAAACAAACAAAAAAGTGTTACTATAAAATGATCTTTTGTTGTGGCTAAACATATATTCACATAAAGTTACCATTTTAACCACTTTAAAGTTGTTGAAGTTAGAGCCAGGTGCTGGTGCTTATGCCTGTAATCCTAGCTACTCAGGAGACTGAGATCTGAGGATTGCAGTTCAAAGCCAGCCCGGGCAAGAAAGTCCGTGAGACTCTTATCTCCAATAAACCACCAGAAAACCAGAAGTGGCTCTGTGGCTCAAGTGATAGAGTGCTCCCCTTGAGCTGAAGAGGTGAGGGACAGTAACCAGGCCGAGTTCAAGCCCCACGACCAACCAAAATAAATAAATAGTTGTTGAAGTCAGTGGCGTAAAATTCACAGTGTTGTACAACCATTATCAGTATCTGACTCCAGAATTTTTTCATCATCCTTAAATGAAATCCAATACTTATTAAGTGGTCATTCTCTATTCCTCCCTCCCTAGAAAGCCTATGTCAACCACTAATTAATCTCTTTTTCTATGGTTTGCCTGTGCTGGATATTTAATATAAATTAATTCATACCATATAAAAAAAGTATTATTATTAGTATTGTTACTATTTGAGGACTGAGTATATAGCTCAGAGGTATACTATTTGCCTAGCATACACAAGGCCCTAGCTTCAATCCCCTATGTCCTCTCCCCCACAAAAAAAAAAAATGGGCCTTGGCATAGGTAATGCCCTTCTGTAATCTCAGTTCTTCAGAGGTCAAGGCAGGACCATAGTGCAGAGCCAGCCTGGGCTATATAGAAAGACAAAAAAGAAAAAAAAAATTGGTTGCCAGGCACGGTGGAACATGCCTGGGTGTGACACAGCAAGTTTGGGGCCAAGGATATACCTCAGCGGAAGAGTGAGTGCCTACCACACGTGAGGCCCTGGTTCAGTCCCCAGCACTACTAAGAAATTTGGTTTTCCAGAGAATGGAGGAGAGCAATTAAATAGATATAAGGGATATTTATAGTATATTGAGGGAGACAAACCCTGCTAGCACTTATTTGAAGCCGCCTCAGCAACGGAGTAAGTTTGAGGCCAACTTGGGATATACAAGGAGATTCTGCTCTTGTCTCAAGAAAAGGCAAGTGAAGATCTATAGATATACACACATATACACACATTTATATTTGTCTAGTAAAGCACATTTAATTATAACATTACCAGGACAGGAAGATCTGCCTTGGGCTGCTGATGAGGTCATATACCACAGGATTTTGAGTTCCTTATATGGTTCACTGGCTAGATAATCTACCCAATAGTGATCAAGTTTAAAAATTAGAACAAGGCCTGGTGCAGTGGGTTATGCTTGTAATCCCTACCTGGTCCAGAGGCAGAGATTATGAGGATCATGGTTTGAGGCCAACTTTGGCAAAAGTTATTGAGATCCACCGGTCTCAATAAGCTGGATGTGGTGGTTCAAGTCTATGGTCCCAGATATATGGGTCATGTTAAACACCCCTCCTAAAAATTAACTTTAGGGCTGGGAAGGTGGCTCAGTGGTAGAGCGCTTGCCTTGCATGCCTGAGGCCCTGGGTTCAATTTCTCAGCACCACATAAGCAAAAAGAAAAAAGCCGGAAGTGGCGCTGTGGCTCAAGTGGTAGAGTGCTAGCCTTGAGCTGAAGAGCTGAGGGACAGTGCCCAGGCCCAGAGTTCAGGCCCCACGACCAGACACCCCCCCACCCCCCCCCAAAAAAAAAATTAACTTTAAGAAGTAAAAGGACTGAGCGTGCACACGTTCAAATGAGAATGCTTCCCAGGCAAGCATGAAACCTTGAGTTCAAACTGCACTGCTCTGCCAAGAAAACAACGCAGCTACCAAACATACCTGTGGATCTTCACATTTGCTTACATTTAACACATAAAGATCTGGAAGATAGAATTGTAAACAGCAAGTGCTCAATGTAGCAAGGGCACGGGCTGTACAACAGTCACATAAAAAAAGCTTGCCAGGCCGGGCGCTGGTGGCTCACGCCTGTAATTCTAGCTACTCAGGAGGCTGAGATCTGAGGATCACGGTTCAAAGCCAGCCCGGGCAGGAGAGACCGTGAGACTCCTATCTCCAATAAACCACCAGAAAACCGGAAGTGGCGCTGTAGCTCAAGTGGTAGAGCGCTCACTTTGAGCTGAAGAGCTGAGGGACAGCGCCCAGGCCCAGAGTTCAAGCCCCACGACCGACAAAAAAAAAAAAAAAAAAAAGGCTTGCCAGTTTTGGACAGCATTGTTTTGAAATCCTACTCCCAAGTGCTAGTTTATGGGGTTGGAAGTACAGCTCTATGGTAGAACACTTGTAAGCACCAAGGCCCCTGAAGAAAAGAAAAATCAACAGGAAACCTGTGTGAGCAGTGAAAAAGAGGTATGTTCAATTAAATGAAGAGAATGAAAGGAAAAAAAAAAAAACCAATGTGCTTTTCTTAATGATGTAGGTACTTTATATTTCAGAGATTAAAGGGTCAAGAAGGTACTTGGGCTTGAACTTAGGCTTGGGTGCTACTTTAGCTTTTTTACTCAAGGCTGGTGCTCTACCACTTGAGCTCCTGGCTTTTTGGTGCTAATTGAAGATAAGAGCCTCACAGACTTTCCTTCCTGGGCTGGCTTTGAACTATCATCCTCAGATCTCAACTTTCTAAGTAGCTAGGATTACAGACGTGATCCAGGGATGCCTGGCTCATGAAGAAAATTTATTCTAGTTTTTAAAGTCCAGGTAGAAGATCAGGCAATTATAACAAGTGACAGAAGCACCTTTGTTTTTGGTATTCTCTGGTTTCCAAGTTTTTTTTGGGTTTATATTGTATCTTTTGATCTTTTACCAGTCTTGGCATTTTTTTTTAAATAGTACTATTTGTAGTCATTATATAATTTGAACCTAATTGAGGTAGAGCCTCTCTAGTATCATATAACGTCTGAGTGGACCAGTGAGTTTAGAGTTCTCCTAGGTAGATAGGCTCACATATTAGGTAATGTTTTATTATTTTTTGTACATATCCTTTGATTCAATATGAATTTTTAAAATATCAATTGTAAATTTGCTTTGCTCTAGAATTAACTTAAACCAGGCACTAGTGTCTCATATCTACACAGAAAGCTAAGTTCTGAGGATCAAGATTTGGAGCCATCCTGGGCAGACAAGTGCAAGAGACTCTTACTTCCCCTAAGCCAGCAAAAAGCTGCAACTGGAGGCATGGCTCAAGTGGTAGAACACCAGTCACAAACAGTAAATAAACCCCAAGTGATAGCAGAAGGCCAAGTTAAAGCCCGATTACTGACACTAAAAATAAATTAAGGGCCTGGTGCTGGTGGCTCACGCCTGTAATCCTAGCTACTCAGGAGACTGAGATCTCAGGATCATGGTTCAAAACCAGCCCAGGCAAGAAAGACCATGAGACTCCTATCTCCAATAAACAACCAGAAAACCGGAAGTGGCGCTGTAGCTCAAGTGGTAGAGCACTCACCTTGAGCTGAAGAGCTGAGGGACAGCGCCCAGGCCCAGAGTTCAAGCCCCATGACCGACCAAAAAAAATAAAATAATTAAGGAAGAAAGTGATTTTATAAAATTTTTTATTGTAAAGGTGATATAAAGGGGCTGGGAATGCGGCTTAGTGGTAGAGTGCTTGCCTAGCATGTGTGAAGCCCTGGGTTTGATTCCTCAGTATCACATAAACAGAAAAGGCTGGAAGTGGTGCAGTGGCTCAAGTGGTAGAGTGCTAGCCTTGAGCCAAAGATGCTCAAGGCTCTGAGTTCAAGGCCCAGAACTGGCAAAAAAAAAAAAAAAGAGCCCTTTTATACCTAGATCTAAAAAACATGATTGCCACAGTTCCTTGCACCTCCCAAAGATGCAAAGAGGTGTCTGTGTATATATCTATGTATGTGTAAAAACATTCATGATATGCAGGGGTTACAGTTATAAGTTAGGTAAAGAGAAAGTACCTTTCTTTTTGGTCAGTGTAACCCCTTCCCTCACGCTCTCACAGTTTTTCCTTCCTGTCCCTACCCACAAGTTGTATAGTTCATTTTCAACGTAGTGTCCAGTGAGTGCCACCGGATACATTTGTTCACCCTTTGTGAGAGAGATTTTACTACATTTTAAGCCCGGGGTTAAATCCCTAGCACCACAAAGGCAAAAATTTTAAACAAAGGATAATCTTAAATTATTTGCATAGATAATTCCACAAAGATAAAATACAAAGATGGGACTAGTAATTTAGTTTAGTGGTAAATGGCTTGCCTAGCACGCATGAAACACTGGATTGATACCCAACTGAAAAAAAGCAAAAGTACAGAAAAGTTTGTCTAAGGCTTTCAGTTGCCAATAATTCATCCATCTCCCATACATCACCAGTGTAGTTAATTTCTTAATTATTACTATGACTAATTGAACATAGGGCCATCACATGCTAAAGCTCACAGTCCACCACTGAGCTACACCTAGTTCAGCAGCATGCTGTTGCTGTGTTCATCATGTATTTAGATTCTACTATCAGTAGTATAAACTCAGTTGTAGTGCATAATCATTTTGTACGTACAGTACAAAATCTTAAGGACAGGTTTCCAGCAGTGGCCAAAGAGATAAGTCATTTTGATATAGGTCAATTTCTGTCCCACAGCATCAGAAGATGCTGATTACTCACACACCATGCCCAGCATAGCAGTTGACAAATCTCAGATCTTACTCAATCTGACTTTTTTTTAAATTTAGATTTAATGTGTGGCTTTCTTTATGAGTAAGTCTGATTGAAGCATTTTTAAACTACATATTTAAGATGATTACTTTGAGCCAGGCAGCCAGGCACTGGTGGCTCACGCCTGTAATCCTAGTCAGCTACTCAGAAGGCTGAGATCTAAGGATCACAGGAAAGTCTCCAGTTAACCAGGAAAAAAAAAAAAGCCCAAAGTGGAACTATGGCCCAAGTGGTAGAGCACTAGTCTTGAACACAAAAGCTAAAGGCAGTGCCCAGGCCCTGAGTTCAAGCCCATTGACTGGCACGCACACACAAAAAAGGAGTTGCCAGGAAATGTCTTTATTCACATTGACAGCTAGGTAACAGGAAAGACTAAAGATTAAATAAAGATTAAAAACAGTGTCCAATAGGCTGGGAAGGTGGCTCAGTGATAGAGTGCTTGCCTTGCATGCATGAGGGCCTGGGTTCGATTCCTTGGCACCACATAAACAGAAAAAGCCGGAACTGGGTGCTGTGGCTCAAGGGGTAGGGTGCTAGCCTTGAGCTAAAGAGCTGAGGGACAGCACCGCCCAGGCCCAGAGTTCAAGCCTGACAACTGAAAAACAAAAAAATATACAAAAAAACAGTGTCCCAATCTTGACTCTGTATGGAGAGATGTCTATGTGTCTTGTGACTATAATTACTTTTTGTTGCATGAATGAAAGTTGGTGAGAGTATTTCTGCTGCATCTTGGTTTATTGGTAGCATTGTATTTCATGGGTTACTTTCCTTATGTGTTTGTTCCAGACCCCTGTAAAAGAGCCCAACAGTGAAAATGTAGATATCAGCAGTGGAGGAGGCGTGACAGGCTGGAAGAGCAAATGTTGCTGAGTGCTCTCCTGTTCATCCGTTGCCATCCACCACCCGTTTCTCTTCTTGCTGCAAAATAAACCACTCTGTCCATTTTTAACTCTAAGCAGATATTTTTCTTCTCATCTTAATTTCAGTCCACCTATTTTATTTGTTCTTTCATCTGTGACTGCTTGCTGACTTTATTATTTTTTTCAAACAAAAAAAATGTATAGCAAAATCATGTCTGTGACTTCATTTTAAATGTACTTGCTCAGCTCACCACTGCATTTCAGTTGTATTATATCTGGTTCCTGTTATCAACATTAAACCTATAGCAATCATTTCAACTCTATTCTGCAAATTGTATAAGAATAAAAGTTAGACTTAACAATTTTATTTTGTACAACAGTGGAATTTTCTGTCATGGATAATGTGTTTGAGTCCCTATAATCGATGGACATGTGATAGCAAAGGAAACAAACAAAAGCCAGGAAAAACACTCATTTTCGCCTTGAATATGTAAGTGGGGTTAATTTTGTCCTGTGCCTTATGTGGAAAGGAACTTCTTTGGTTTTTCTTTTTTGTTCTGGTGGAAGCATGTGCAGGAGACATATCATCTAAACATAAACCATGAAAATGTTTGTGGTTTGCTTGGCTGTAATTTTCAAAGTAGTTAATTGAGGACAAAGGGTAATGCAGAAATGATAGCTTCGGTTTGCTGAGTCTCATTTTCAGTGGCCTTGATATTTAAACTATTCCTGCCGCCAGTTCTCCTCCCTGGCCACTCACCTTGCGTCTCATCTTCCTGCATGCTGCTTTATTTGCTTCTTTCCCTCCTCTCCCCCCCTCCCCCTGCCCCCCCCCCCAGCCATGGTCAGAGTTATTTAAAATGAAAAGGGGCAAACCTGTGGGTTTGTCAAATTTAACATAAAGCACTGATTTAACTTGCTAAGTAAACAAAAAGATAAATAAATCCTAACTGCCTACTATCAGATGTCAGTTAGCTGGTGTCTTCCTCTCATTTCCTCCCCTCAAACCTCTACCCTGCTGTCTTACTTCCTTGTCCCCTTTTCCTTCCCTTTGCTCCCTTCTGGTCTATCCATCGAGTTTATGAAATGGAAGAGTTAATTGCATGCACTAGTGTTTGGAGGGTGTTGTGGTTTGTCTTTCTAATTAGGTATATATCCTATTCACTTTCCTAGAATAAATCTCTGAACCTGAATTTGAGTAGTCTCCATTTTGGCAACTCCTCTGGCAGTTTGGTAGCCCAGGAAAGACTTTAAAAAAATAAAAAGGAGGAGAGGATTTTATTAACATGGTTGCCAAATGTATTGAGATTTGGCCTCTGAAGAAGACTTATTCAGTGTTAAGTTGTCTTTACCTTAAGATTTAGAAGTACTTTATAATATTAATTTTAAGTCCAGTTCTCACACCTCTTGGAAAACTTGTATTACCATGGATCTACAAAAAGGACAAAAAAGGCTTCTCGTGTAAAGATAAGCTCTCTAGCTACTTGTAACCCTGTCCTTCTCCACTTCATCTTTCTAGTTTTGCTTCATTGCTTATTGTTAGGATAGGGTAGGTTAAGTTTGCTATGCTGCTGGCATCCTAAGATGATACCTTTGTTGAAATAATTGTGAATAGCATGATTCATTTCAAGCAGAGGCTGAGTTTAGGACAGCAGCATCCATTGAAAAGTCTGTGTCGTCATGCGCATTTTAATGACCTCTTGGCTCACATAAACAACAGCATAGGGACCTATCTGCTATGAAAACCCATGGATTTTTCAGATAGTGCCCTAAAGACAATTTTATATGCCTCACAGGTGGTTCTTAGGTCTTTCCCACACTTGACTCTATCATTGTTTACTAGTAAAAGCAGCATTGCCAAATAATCCCTAGTTTTCCACTAAAAAGAATAATGAACTGATGTTAAAGTTTCTCAAAAAGCTTTAGGTTAAACCTACTGTTGTTAATGTATTTGTTGCTTCCCTTGGTCTGGAATGTGGCAGTAGTTTTTTTGTTGTTGTTTTTTTACTTTTAACCCTCTTTAATCCTTATTCAATTCAATGACTTAAGGTTTGAGAGCTAAACACTGGGATTTTGGGTAACAGACTGACAGTTGTGTTGTTTGCATAATTATAATCGGCATTGTACATAGAAAGGATATGGCTACCTTTTGTTAAATCTGCACTTTCTAAGTATCAACAAAAAAAGGGAAATGGAGTATAAATCAATTTTTGTATAATCTGTTTAACATGAGTTTTATTTGCTGAATATTAGGGCTTTGCCCCTTTTCTGTAAGTCTCTTGGGATCCTATGTAGAAGCTGTTCTCATTAACACCAACAGTTAAGTCCATTCTCTGGTACTAGCTACAAATTCGGTTTCATATTCTACTTACCAATTTAAATAAACTGAAATATTTCTAGACGGTCTACTTCTGTTCATATAAAAACAAGACTTGGTTTCCAACTGTGTGGCTTGGTTTTCATTCATTTGTGGAGTCAGAGGATTTCTTCTGAAACTATACAAAGTACTGCATCGCCAAAATAATTTTCCAGCCTACGGAAAACTGGAAGACAATTTCAAGGATTGTCTTTCATTAAAAAAAAAAATTAATAGAAGACTCTGAAGACTCCTTGGACACGAAAGCAGAATCATGCTAGTCTGAAATAGGAGATGCCATGGGCCTAGCCATCTCCAGCTGACGCTAGTTGAGTGTGCCAAAACCAGCTGAAGCCAGCTGGTTACCCAGGACACGCAGGGAGACTCGCCACACTGGAGGAGGTGTTGACTTAGCCCTGGCTTTCTCCTCTTACCTGGAAACAGACTCTTTCCTCCTTCCCAAAGCAGCTTTGGCTATATATATATGATATTGGCAAAACAAACGTGTAATGCCATATTAAGGCCTTCGTAGTTAATAAAAGGTAGATATTTGTCGCTAAGACTTATCTGCTGGAAGGTTGATGTATACAGTTGCCTTGTTATACAGTTGTAAGAGTCACATGAGTTTGTTTAGTGCTGACTATTCCTATTTCCTCCACCCCATCATATACCTGTTGTGTGTCCAGAGAGAGAGAGAGAGAGACTTGTGATTCTGCCTTGGAGATTGATAGAGAAATAGGACATGACTATAAATTTATGATCTGGTTTAAAAGCCAACCAGTTGAGCACATACAAGAGCCAAGTAACCATGATCCAGATTCTCAGTGCTGCATTCATAGAGGAGTGAATGTAGTTGGGGAGAGTAGCTTGTGTGGCTGTGAGGAAATAGACATGAAGATTGGTTCTTTCAGCAGAATAAAAAGAGCAAGAATGCAGAAGTCCAGCTGGAGAGTGATAGGCACTTAGAGGGTCATGGTAATGTCTTGAGACCTTGAGAGCAGTATGTTTGAGGAAGACATATCCAGATACATTGAAAAACTACAGGTTCCCCGGGGAATAGGATATTGAATGGAGCCGGCCTGAAATGGTTGACAGATGGGGACTGGGTTGGTGAAGGCAGGCGTGTTGGGAAGGAGAATTGTTTGTAAGCCTGCTAGGTCATCTTGCTGTGATATATTCCTGTTCACACCATCTTTTAGCTGTCTCATTTTTCTGCTGGCTCTCCCATCCCATCAGGTATATGCACATTCCTGAGCAGGAGATGGGCTCTATCTTCTTCCTAGTAAGACCACTTTGAGCCTGCATGGCATAATTCCCTGGTTCAACTTAATTGTCTTCAGTATGGTTTATCTCCTTAACAAACTACAGGTGTCTGGTGGGCAGGGAGTCTATTCTGTCATCTTTGTGCCTTCACAGATGTTGGTGCCTTTCTGCCCACAGAGCCAGGACAGTAGCAATCCATCAGTGTCCAGCAGGGGGTGCATTGTTTTGCTTTCCTCACCTTCACACATCTGTTCCCTTTTGGGTTTTTTTGTTTTTTGTTTTTGTCGGTCATGGGGCTTGAACTCTGGGCTTGGGTGCTGTCCCCGTGCTCTTCAGCTCAAGGTGAGCGCTCTACCACTTGAGCCACAGCACCACTTCCAGTTTACTAGTGGTTTATAGGAGATGAGAGTCTTATGAACTTTCCTGCCTGGGCTGGCTTTGAACCGCAGTCCTCAGACCTCAGCCTCCTGTGTAGCTAGGATTACAGGCATGAGCCACAGGTGCCCGGCTTTGTTCCCTTTTCTTAAGCTATAGCTGTGTTGTCAGGCTGACCTTAGTATCTTGATGCATTCAGTCCTTCCACTGCAGACTCCTGAAACTGCAGTGTAAGTTACTAAAATGCAGCTTGTTTTTTGTTTTTGTCAGTCCTGGGGCTTGAACTCAGTGCCTGGGCACTCACTGTCCCTGAGCTTTTGCTCAAGGCTAATGTTCTACCGAGTCTGGCTTTTTCTGACTAGTTTATTGGAGATAGAGTCTCACAGCATTTCCTGTTCAAGCTGGCTTCAAATCATGATCCTTAGATCTCAGCTAGGATCACAGGTATAAGCCACCAGCACCCAATGCAGCTTGTCTTTAATGACAACTTCAATTATAACTTTGAAGTTGAAGCCCAAGTCCATTCTTATTGCCTCCAAGTATTGAGTAAACTGGTTGATTCCTTGCTATCTCAATTTCTTGTCTCTAAAAGATGGACAGGAAAGCCTTTTGATGGCTGTGGCTAGTAGCCTCAATTCTGTGGATCTCAGTGCAGGAGTGTGTCACTAGATAAAATACAAATTAAATACAGGGTCACTGCGCCACCTTGTGATCCTTCCTGGTAGGTGCACTTCATTGTGCTGTGAGAGTCGACTTAAATGCATCAGGGATTTAAGTAGGGTTGGGGTGTGGCTCAAACGGTAGAGCCTCACCAAACCAAGCATAAGACCCTGAGTTCAAAGCCCAGAACTGCCGTTTATAGAGTAGGACTGGAATTGTATCTCAGTGGTATGCAAAAATTGAACAGCTATATATTTTTTAATGTGAAATGGAAAAGAGCTAATTTAGATGATAATTTACTCCTTAAATGTTTTCAAAGAGAGCCCCAGGACTTTCATGATTACTGTCACCAGACACTGGAAAAGCTAGGTATGTGACAGCAGGTTAAAATGGAGACTGATGGAGATCTTATAGGAAGCAGTGGAGTCCCTTGGTGTCCCCACCTTTCAGTACCTCTAAAAGCTCCACACTTGAAGATGGCGGACAGGAGAAGGAGATGGTAAGCCAGGATCACACACAAAGGCCTCTACTGCACCCATTTGATCCATGTCCCTCCCCAGCATGGCTTAGCATTATTTGTGAGGGGGCCAGCCTGGGGTGAGATCTTCCTTCCTGTGCTCCCCTGTGTCACTGGGTGATAAGCACACATCACCGTGCCCAGCCGTTATTTTTCCCCCATATCCAGAAAAACATGCACATACCATTGTAACCAACCATTGGTTGAGATGGAGTCTTAGCCTACTCTTGAGATTCTCTGATCTCCTTTTCTCAAATAGCTTGGATTGCAGGCTTGAGCCATGGTGAATGAGCCGCCATCCTCAACTATAATAGCCTTTAAAGAGGGTGGAAGGGGGGACAGGAATGAAATATAGAAAAGAAAACAAATAGAAACAGATGAGGATTTCCCTGACATTAACACTTCATTCAAAACCTCCCACAATAACTATCATCCACAGAAGCCATCACTGGGAGAGGTAAGAGCCATGATGCCAGCTGACTGGGGTGTCCAGGCACGAATCCTTATGTAACTGATACCTGTTTCTGTGCCCAGCTGATCTGGAGAGCATTTAACTGACATTCAAAGACAGTCATGTGCATGACTGCCAGTGATCCAGTGGGATATTTACCTAAATCATATACTCCATAACTTAGCTGATCCTTGGCCTTGCAAAAGAATTCAAAGGACATTAGAAAATACAGTTGAGCTGAGCGCTGGTGGCTTACACCTGTAATCCTAACAGGAGGCTGAGATCTGAGGATCATGGTTCAAAGCCAGCCCGGGTGGGCAGGAAAGTTCGAGAGACTCATTTCCAATAAACCACAAAAAAACCAGAGGTGGCACTGTGGCTCAAGTGGTAGAGCACTTGCCTTGAGCTGAAGAGCTGAGGGACAGTGCCCAGGCACTGAGTTCAAGCCCCGTGACCAAAAGAAGAAAAAAATACAGTTGAGACAAACATTAAAACTGTGATTTTTAAGTGAAAGTAAACTCCAAACAAAAGATTAAGAATGTTCAGTGCAAGCAACAAGTGTCTCAATTTGAAAACTTCCCCTAGAAACATTACACAGAATAAGGAAAGAATACTGAAAAGGAGAAGAAACAAGTTATAATAACAGTGGGCTATTAGAATAACAGCAGATGTCTGTAAATGTAAGGAGAACATAAAGAGCATAATTCAAACAACAGCAAAAGACTACAGAAAACATGCAAGTGCATGGAGATGGAAGAAATGGTTGAATAACAAGTGGGTCACTGAAGAAATAGAGAAACGGAAAGCTTCTGTACTTTGATGAGAATGTGCACACAACCTGCCCAGAGCCATTGGGATCCAGCAGAGTTCCTACATAAAAGAAAAAACAATTCCTGAGAGTTCCCAGATAGCATAAGAATACACCTCAAGCTGGGGGCCAGAGGCTCATACCTAAAATCCTTGCTACTCAGGAGACAGATCTCAGGATCATAGTTCCAAGCCAGAACAGGCAGGAAAGTCCATGAGACTTTTATCTCCAATTAACCACTAGAAAACCAGAAGTGGCACTGTGGCTCAAAGTGATAGAGCACTAGCCTTGAGCTCAAGAGCTCATGGGCAGCACTCAGGCCCTAAGTTCAAGCTCCATTACTAAACACACACACACACACACACACACACACACACTTTAAGCTTCTAGAAGAACATGCAAGCCAAACCCCAAAATGATACTGAAATAATAAATATTAGTACAGAAATTAGTGAAATGGAGACCAAATGACTATACAATAAAATCAATGAAGCAAAAACTAGTTCTTTAAAAAATTAAATAAGGGGGCTGGGAAGGTGGCTCAGTGGTAGAGTGCTTGCCTTGCATACATGAGTCCCTGGGTTCCATTCCTCAGCACCACATAAGTAGAAAAAGCCAGAAGAGGCGCTATGACTCAAGTGGTAGAATGCTAGCCTTGTGCTGAAGAGCTGAGGGACAGTGCCCAGGCTCTGAGTCCAGGCCCCGTGACTGACAAAAACAAACAAAAAAATAAATAAGAATAAATGCCTAATTTCATTAAATGGAGAGACAAGAAGCAAATGAATAAACTTAGAGGTGAAAAGGGAGTATCACTAGAGATACCAGAGCACTCCAAAGGAGCATGAGGAAATACAGAGAAAACCTATACTCGAAATGCAAAATTTAGAAGAACTGGGTAAGTTTTTAAGTACAGTTGATCTACCAAAATTTAACTAAGATGATATAAACCACTTCAACAGATCTACAACAAGCAATGAGATTGAAGCATTAATAGAATCTCTCAACAAAGAAAAGTCCAGGACTTGATGGATTCATGGCCAAATTCTCTCAGATCTTCAAAGAAGGACTAACATTGATTTTCCTCAGGCTCTTCTATGAAACAGAAAAGGAAAGAACACTGTCAAATTCATTCTGTGAACAAGTACTACACTCATTCCAAAACTGAACAGAAATTCGACAACAAAAGAATCATAGATTATTCTCGTTGATGAATGTTGATGCAAAAATTTTCAATAAAATTATTGCAAACAGAATTCAAAAAATCATACACTAAAATTGGTTTTATCCCAGGAATGCAAGCATGGGTTCAATATCCATAAACCAATAAAACGTAATATATTACAGAAACAGGATCAAGGCGAAAAAATATATGACCCATCTCAATGCAGACAAAGTCTTTGGCAAAATTAACCACCCATTTATGAGGAAGGCTCGGAAGAAACTAGGAACAGAAGAAATGTATCTGAATTTACCAAGGGATATTTATGACAAAGCTGTAGCCAGCATCATATTAAATGGGGAAAAAGTGAAATTATTTCCCCTAAAGTCAGGAACAAGTCAAGAGTATTATTCTCCTTATGGTACTAGAATTCCTAGCCAGAACAACAAAGCAGGAAAACTAAAAGATATTTAATAAGGAAGGAAGATGTCAATTTTCCAAAAGTAATACATGGCCACTTCCTCCTTTCTTGGAGAAGGAGACAGAGTAGCTAGTTGGTGGAGAGGACCGTGTGTCCTCTAGCTGGGTGGGGTGGGTGTTTACAGGTAGCCTGAGCCTGCTCACACCTTTTGCTGTGCTGTGCTCCAGTGACCACTGTGTGCCACACACGGGCAGCTCAGCCACCTCTGCCTACGCTGACCTCTGGACCAGGACTCCTGTCTTTCCAGTCCTCTGGATCACGGATTTCTCTTGTGTTCTCTCCTGCCAGTAGAGGACCACATTGTCATTGCTACTACATACCTGTCAGAAAGAGCTCAAAGCAGTGCAGTGGCCTAGATGCCCCCCCAGACCTTCCTGGAGGGTAAGCACAGGCTCAGCTTAGTCACCTTCAAGCTCCCTGGCCCTCTCGCTGCCACACTGGCTGCCCAGTTTGACCTTTCTGCCAGCAACTTCCTGTCTCACAGTGCCTTCCAGAATCTCCTTCCTGCCCAGCCTTCTCCCGGAAATCTCAGTCCCAGGAAAGATGGAAGGGTTCCTGAATCCAAGTGATGCTGACTTCCTTCCTTTCAGGCTCCAGCACTGCCAGTAAATCAAAGGCTGTATTTGTCTGGTCTTGACAATTAAGTCCTGCAAAGGCTCTGGAATGTGCTACAACAGTGAGGTTCATCTTAGGTGGTCCATTTTGATGTTTCTCATCTTGTTCCTAACCCAGAGGAAATGCAAGGTTACAGGGTGTTATCAAACAGAAAGCTTGGCCTGGGGGAGAAGAGTTGGAAGGAGGAGCCACCAGCAGGCCGGGCCTGCAGCGTTGAAGGCAAGGGCTCCAGGGCACAGTTGCCTGGATTGGTGAGATGGATATAAGGGTTAGGGAGAAGATCTCCTGGTTGAGGGACCCAGAAAATGGTGATGTCTTCTACTGGGTCTGGATGGAGCTCAGGTGTGGCTGTTGAAATGGAAAGTGCCTGGGAATGCCTTGGTGGGGAGACAGGCACGCAGGAGTTGGGGTTCAATGCTGAGGACGGTGATGCTGTGTAAGAGGCTTCAGGTACGGTGCTTGCATCCGGGGCTCAGAGGTAAAGGGACTACATGGCTCCGTCCCTGTTGACTTACACTGTCTGGTCTAGGTTATATCTGCTGGCCTGGCCTGGCAAGTAAGTGGTGGGTACCTTCTTTAGTCTCAAAAGTGCCCTAGTTTGGGCCAGGCACAGGTGCCTCACACTTTGTAATCCAGGCTGAGATCTGGAGAGGATCAAAGTTCGAGGCCAGCCAAGGTAGAAAAGTCAAGAGATTTCATCTCCAAAAAGCAGGGCTGAAGGCATGGTTCAAATGGTAAAGTGCCAGCCAAGCAAGCAAGGCCCTGAGTTCCAACTCCAATAATGGCAAAAATAAATTACTTAAAAGCATCTCTATTTGGGTAACATGGTCATGCCATCAAAAGAGACCTCGTAGGGTAGGAAATAACAACAAACCTAAGGCCCTTAAGGTCTTTTCCATGCACTGCTTCACCCTCTTCCCATTCCTTAGTTGCCTATATTTACACCTACTTCATTTTCTTTGTCCCCGCTGCCATGTTTGTCTCTCCATCTTCCTTGGTAAGGAGCCACTCACCGCCAGGGAGAGGATTTCCATCTCTCGGGCACCCCTAAGACACTGGTCTGGCTGAAGGGGAGAAAGACTTGCCTTGTGGAGGGGTGAGGCCGGGTTGGGTGAGCCCGTCGGGCTGGGTGACGTGGGGGCAAAGCCTTTGAGCGCTTGGAATCTCAGTTCTCCCTGAGACAAATGGCTGTCGAACAAGTGACCCGACATATCCCTAAGATGTTGCGTTCTTCCTATGCATTTCTGTCGGGGTTATTAGCAGCAGATGGCAAGCACCTCCAAGGGAAAGTTCTGTGTGTCCGTGTAAGGGATGACCCCTACCTAGCGCAGCGAGGCTGGAGACTGGGCTCCACCGAGCTGTTTCCTGGCGAGCACGCGGCGCGGCCCGCACCAGGCCCGCACCGGCCCCTGTGACCTGCAGAGGGCGCCGTAGACACACCGAGGGCCAAGCGGGGTCCGGGCCGGGTGCGAGGCCGGCGCAGCTCCTAGGAAGGGCTTCTTCCCAAGGGGGGCGCCGGAGCCGAGGGGGATGGAAGGCAGAGGAAGGACAGAGCAGACGGAAAGCCCGGTGGCCCCCGGAGGCAGGCCGCCGCCGCCGCCGCCGCCGCCGATCAAGCCTCAGTTTCCTCGCTGACGGGCGAATTCCGGTAAGGGGGCGCCGGGAACTCGGAGAGCGCTCTCCGGGCGGGGCGGAGGGACCATAGGATTTGTAGTCACCCCCAGGTTCCGGTCCTGACGGTCACCTGTCCCCCCACCCCACCCCCTGCGTCCGCGTTGGCGCATCAGGGACGCGGGTTACTAACGGAGGCTCGGCTCCGAGAGGCTGGACTCCTGGAGGCCGCGGCCACGCGCCCGTCGCCAAGCCAGCGCTTGGGCCGCGGGGCAGGACCGAGTCCCGGGACTCCTGAGTCGCCGCTCCGGCCGGGGCTGCGGCCGGGGCTGGGGCCGGGAGTCCAGGCACACTTGGCGGGACAGAGGAGGCTGAGCCCCGCGCGACCCCGCAGATGTCGTCGCTCGGGGGCGGCGTCTCCCCCCCAGCCCGCTGTCACCTGGCGCGCGGCGCGGCGCGGCGGGGGCGGCCGGGGCGGGGCGGGGCCGGGGGCGGGCGCAGCCCGGGGCGGGGGCCGGCGCCCCGCGGGAGGCCGGCCACGTGACGCCCGCCGCCCCAGCTCCGGTCGCCGGGCCGGGAGCGCCGCGGCGGCCCCTGGAGGTGGCGGCGGGCGCGGAGCCCCGGCCGCGCGGGACTGGCCGTCGGGGCTCCATGCCATGGAGAAGCTGGCGGCCGGGCTGGCCGGCCTGCGCTGGAGCATGGGCGCCTTCCCGCTCGACCTCATCGTCAGCCGCTGCCGCCTGCCCACGCTCGCCTGCCTCGGGCCAGGTACTAGGGTGACGGGCGGGGCGGGGGGGGGACTCGGGAACCCCGAGGGCTCCGCAGGCAGGTGGTGGCGGGACCGCGCGCCGACGGGGAGGGCGCCTTCCTCGCCCCGCTAGCGGCTCCCGGCGCGCCTCCCCGGGACCCCCGGGGGCAGAGACTGGCGCTGGGGCCCAGAACCGAGTTTTCCAGCCCCTCTGGAGTCCGGGGAGCGGCCGAGCCACGGCGACCGCCCCGTCGGCGCGCCCCTTTTCCCACTGTCCGTCAGCGCTCCCCCCGCCATCCCGGCCGGCCGCGCCCCTTTGTCTCGGCCTCTCCTCTAGATCCTCCCGCGCCCCTTGGCCTCCGTGGCTCTTCCTCACCCCCCCCCCAGCCTCTTTTGAGGACTCGCCCCCACACCCTTGCTTAGGGTCCTGGGGAGCCGCCGCTGGCCCTCCGGGGCGGGCCGAGCTGCCTTGGGGAGAGGCTCGGCGTCTCCCCCAGGACCCCCGGCCCTCCTCCACTTTGCACCCTACTTCTCCGGGGGCTGGCGGGGCCCCTCTGTCCTGCGGATGGGACGGTGCCTGGAGGCCGGAAAGGGGGCGCCTGGAGGCTGCGTGGGGAGCGCGGGGCCGTTGGGGGGAGGGGGGCTGCCGGGCTGGGGGAGGGGCGGGACGGGGCTGGCAGCCAGGCCGGGGGTTTTGTGTGTGAGAAGAATAGGGGTTTGGCCCGCGTTGGCACACTCGCTTCCCTGAATGCTAATGGGCACTTCCCTGCGGGCCGCCGGCCTCTCCTCCGACCCCAGCGGCCCGGGCTGGGCTGGGGGGGCGTCCACGGCCAGGCCTCAGGCCGTCGGGCAGGAGTGCCTGCAGCCCAGCCCGTGTCCTTCGGGTGGTCACCGCACAGTGACCCCGAGTCTGTCCGTGTGTGGGCCGGAGGACGCCCTGAACCGCCCTGGGCTCTCCGCACCCTCTTGGACATCGCGACTTCTGAGGGTCATTTCTGAGCTCCCCTGTCTGGGCAGGGCCCCCTTTGGGGTTCTTTTGACACCTCTGGCACCTCTGTCTTGTCCTCTGCTGACCACTTTTTTGTCTTCCTGGCTGCATTTAAGGGAGATACCCTTGTTTACAAAGATTATGGACTGACCCACTGAATGAATGAATGAATGAATGATGAACAGATGGACAGTGGTGTCATTTGCCTAGTTGTGTGTCTTTTGTCACCCATAGAGTGTGAGTGTGTGATCACAACTGTGTTCTAAGGATCCTGTGCCCTGTGCATTTGGGCTGGGTCCCCCGTGAGATGTGTGTGTGTGTGTGTGTGTGTATGACAAGCCCCTGTTAAACTAGTAGCATGGCTGTTAGTGCACACATGCACAGCTTTGGACTGTGTTCTGGTGGAAGGGGGAATGGGGCTTAGACAAGTTCTAGATAGAGATTGCAGAGCTGAGGAGACCTTCCTCTGTGGAAGTGAGGTGAGGATGAAGGCTCAGACAACATCACACACACACACACACACACACACACACACACACACACACGAGCTCTCCCTGCAGGAATTGAATCTCTTCCCTCCCTGCCCCCCACCTCTTGCATACATTTTATGAAGCCTCAGCCCCAGGCCGAGCCAACCATTCCCTATTTGGTTGGCTGGCAGAAATGTATAAGTTGTGTGTGAGGGGCTGGGAAGCGGGCATCCCCAACCCCCACCCGGCCCACCAGCTGCAGCCAGGAGACGCCCACAGCCTCCTGGAAGCTGGGCTGCCCCGCCTGCTTCCCTGGAAACGGTTGCTGGGCTTGGAGCCTCCAGCACCTCTGCCCCAGTGCAGCTTTCTCCAGACCAGGCTTCTCCTCCCACCTTCTAACCCAGCACCCCTTGGTCCCCTGGGAGGGCCAAGAAGCAGCTTTGCTGAAATGGGCCTTATGGAGTCTCTGGGGGCTCCTCTCCTGTCCCTTGAGGTTTCTGAATGCAAGGGACTCCCAGAGGCAGTGAGTGGAGAGGAGAAGCCGCCGGTGACAGTGGTCACAGTGACAGTGGGCAGCTCGCTGGGCTGCACTACCCACTCATGGCTCTGGGGGAACTCTCACAGCTTGGACCCACAAAATGTGCTTTCTTCTCTGTCCTTTCTGCCCGAGTAAGGCTCTCCTTGCCTTCTGGCCACTGACTGAGAGGTGGTAATTTGCCTGGTCCTGGCAGGAGGAAAGTGTCCCTCACCCCTCTTCCAACCCCAGCCCACCCCTCACTGTGTCCCCAGACACTTTCTGATCTCCCCAGGGGCCTGGGGCGACCTGGAGGGCAGGGGCTGGCTGGGCGCCTCTCTCGGGAGTCTGCAGCGGGAGCCTGGGCTGGACAGCACACTCCGGTGGATGATGAATGAGGGTCTCGGCTGTGCTGGTTGCTGAGGCCCCTTTGGGAGTCAGAGCGCCGAGATGCTCAAGCCTGACTCATGGCCCCAAAGGCCACAGCTGGCAGCATGCCTGTCCCTTGGGTATTGCTGACCTGGACAGAGATCCCGGGAAGCTGTCCCCAGGCGGGGTCTCGGTAAAGAGGTCACTCAGCCTGTCCTTTGTACTCCATCTAACCTTCCCTCTTCCTTTCCCTCCTCCTCTGCCCCTTTCCCTCTCAGGGGAGTATGCTGAGGGGGTCAGCGAGCGAGACGTGCTGCTCATCCACTCCTGCCGCCAGTGGACAACGGTGACAGCCCATGCGCTGGAGGAGGGCCACTATGTCATCGGGCCCAAGATCGACATTCCCCTGCAGTACCCAGGTGTGCCCAGTCAGGGTCAGCTGGCCCAAAGCCTGGCGGGAGGCCGAGGTGGGCTGCGCGTGAAGGCATGTGGGGAAAGCTGATGATGAGCACCTGTCTTGTCGCTTCCGGGGAGAGTAAGCGAGGACATGGCTAGCAGGGTGCTGATATCCCTATAGTTAGTTAGGGTCCAGGGATTTTCATTCTGTTCTGTGAGGTGAGGCCTTGGGTTGCTGGAGAGGAGGAGGCCCTCGGGTTTGCAGACCTGTGGTTCTCATTTTATTTTTAAACATATTTTAAAGTAATGATTAAGTAAGGTCTTACCACCCGATCAGGTATCATGGCTCATGTCTCTACAATCCTACCTACTCAAGAGGTTGATCTGAGGATTTCAGTTCAAAGTAAGCCTGGGCAGACAGATCCAGGAGTCTTTTTATCACTAGTAGTAACAAACTGGAAGTGGTGGTGTGGCTCAAGTGGTAGAATGCCAACTGTGAGTGGAAAAAGCTATGAGAGAGCGTGAAGTCCTGCGTTCAAGCTCCAGACAGGCACACGTACAAAAATGCCTACCCCTACTTGGAGACCTCTAGAGTGTGTCTTGTGTTGCTTTAATGACTCTTGTTGGAGAGCGTTCCTCTAGATAACATCCGCTGGGATCTTCTCTGCCCATAACTCCAGCACTTGTGTGGCTGAGATGGGGATTGTGAGTTCCAAGCCGCTTGGGGCTACATAGTGAGACCCTGTTTCAATAATAAAAAACTAAAACCAAACCGAAAACTACTTCAGAAACTAAGGCTGTTTTGTGGCTACCTTAGTCAGCTCTGATCTCATTTCGTGTTTTTATGTTAATTCCTTGGCATTAATTGGTTTTAAAAATAAATGTTAGAAGTTCTTTTAGATTTTTTAAGACTATGGGGCTGGGAAGGTGGCTTAGTGGTAGAGAGCTTGCCTTGCATGCATGAGACCCTGGGTTCGATTCCTCAACACCACATAAGCAGAAAAAAAAAAGCTGGAAGTGGCGCTGTGGCTCAAGTGGTAGAGCACTAGCCTTGAGCTGAAGAGCTGAGGGATAGTGCCCAGGCCCAGAGTTCAAACCCCATGACTGGACCTCCCCCCCCCCCAAAAAAAAGACTACACAAATGAACTCCTTCTGTGTTTTATATATGACATTGACTTATAAGATTTTAAAGGGAGGATCTAGTGTTGGAGGAAAGGAAGTCCAGCTTTCATTTCACAGATGATGAGCCGTAGGGTATAAGGAGGGCAAGAAGTTCCTCTCCTGGGTTGCCCTGTGGGTGGAGGAAGGGAAGGGAAGGGGCTGGAACCTGACCATTGGTGGTGCCTGCTGCAGCATGCCAGGAATCCTGGGCTGGACCTGATAGCCCAGTCCCAGAGATACCCCCTGCAAGCCCAGGGACTGAGCCAGTGCATCATCGTCTCATCCTCACCACCAACCTGCAGCTTAGGAGGAAACTGAGCCACCCATGCCTCCACAGTAGCCCAGTTCTGTGGTTTTCACTGCTGTGGGACACTCCTATCCCACTCCCCAGCCAAGGCTGGGAGCCCTGGGAACTAGGAAGGTAAACAGTCCCTTCCTTGGCAGCGCCACGGTCCCCTCTGGCTCAGGGTTCCCCAGTCAGTGGTACAGGGCCAGGCCTTTTTCACAGGCTTAGGCTCTTTGCAGCACATGAGTGGGAGTGGAGGTGTGGGGAAGCTATATGGGTCAGTGCCTCCATCCCTCCCACACTCCCATGAAAGCAGGAAGAAACCACCTGGGCCAGAGGCAGGGGCTCCCTGACCTGGTGTTCTGTCCTGGGCCTGCAGACATTCAGAACTTGATCCGACTAGAAATTTCCCAGCCTGAGACCCTGGCTTTGGCATTGGTTTAGGGGAGAGGCCCCAGGTTTTCTTAGAGTACACACACACACACATACACACACACACACACACACACGCACACACACAGCATACACAAAGCCTGAGCATTCCTTGGTAAATATTTACACACATATTTATACAGTTGGGGATAGACTTCATTTGCAGAAATGTGGCTCTGACTTTTGGGATGGGTGACCATTTCAACTGTGTACCTAAAACTCTGGGAAGGCAAAGCACTAAAGTCCCCTAGGAAACCTTGTATGGGTCCAGAGACTCCCCCCCTCCCCCTTCCTCTCTTTTAGTGCCCTCTATGGGCACTGTGTATAGAGTGGGCTATGGGGCAACAGCTGGCTAGTGGGAGTGGCTACAGCCTGGTCCCCCATGGTCCCTCCCTGGCTTGCATGGGGGTGGGGAAGGGCCTGCCACCAGTTAACAAGGAGGCTCTGAGGGCAGCTCCATGCAGAGCCCTCTCTCCTGATGAATGAATAATGACGCTTGGGGTGCAGTGGCCAGCTGGTTGCGGACCCAAGGCCAGTGGGGGATGGGATGTGGGGGGGGAGTGGGGGCGCTGTGTAGTAACCCTTTTCTGCAGGCTGTGGTCAGCCACTCTGGGAGCCCAGGAGATCTGCTCGCTAAGACAGACCTAGCCCTTGCTGTAGGGAGGGGAGGAGGAACCTGACATCTTCCTCAAGTGCATCTACTTCCCCAATAATGGCCTTGGGCTAATGGAAACCAAAGCCCAGAGATTACATAATTTGTCCAGGGTCATTCAGCGAGTTGGTGCAGAGCTGAGATCCAGCCAGCACTGTCCAACTTCTAAAGCCTGTGTTCCCACAAGTTAAAATTTTTTTCCAGTTGTTTTATTCCCTGGGGCTGGGTACTGTCTGGGCCTTGAGCATGCTGGGCGAGTGCTCTACCCCTGAGGGGTGCTGCAATGCCCAAGATGGTCAGTCTGGAAAGGCGGATCAGGGTGAGGGTGAGGGGAAGGAAGGACACAGTCCCGAGAGCCCTGGGGACTCTGAGGAAGCTGCAGGGCTGAGAAGGCTTCCTGGGGCCAGAGCATTGCTCCCAGGAGGGCTCCCTTCCTTCCTCCCCACACCAGAGACCAGCTCCCAGCTCCGGGAGGCTGAAGGGGCGGTGCTAGCTGCCATGGTTACATCGATCTTCCCTGCCACATCCCTACTTCCCCTGCTCCAGCCCCGACTTGGCTCCACACTGCCCCACTGGGGCAGCGGACATTTTCCCCCGCCTGGCTGCTGGCGTGACATGTGTGTCCGTACGGGTGCAGGTGTGTTCATGGCTGCTCCCTGTCACAGGCAGGTCTAGGACTTAGCAGCCCTCTTCCCTCACCCCAAACCTTTTCCCCCCAAGTGCCCCTCTCCCTCCCTTCTTCCCTCTCTGGCAGCTCTAGGGATTGAACTCAGGGACTTGCGCTTTAGACAAGTACTATCCTACTCCAACCAGGCCTTCAGTCCTTTCGTTTTTGCTGTTTTTCAGATAGTCTCTTCTTATTGCCAAGTCTGGTCTAGCTTGGACTCACTAATTCCTACCTCCACCTCCCTACGGCAAAAGTGTCATTTCTTACAGAAAAAAAATCCCTACATCTTAGCATGACATTCAGAGACTTTCTAAATCTGGACAGCGGTCTGCTCATTTTCCTGCTCTTCCTTCAGCCCCTCACAGTCTTGGGCAGGCCATCTGCTTTGTGTCCAGATCATTGCCATGCCATTTCTTTGAACGTCTTCGAGCAGCACACACATTCTGTAAAGTGTCTTTCCTTCTTAAAGTACTCAGTGATGCACACAGAGTCTACTCGACAGGTTTCTCTTGTCCCGTAGGTCCTCTAGCTCTTTTGCCATGTCTGCCTGAACATGGGTTGCTTTCATTGGTACTCGAGGTCTCACCCACTGTGCCTGGAGCACAGATTGTTTATACAACTAGGGAGTGATTGACAGGTAGTGCATTCATTGAGTGAATGGTTTTGGAGTAACTGAGTGAACTATGATGCAACAAGCTCCAGGAGGACTACAGAAGCTGAATGTTACCTACCGAATCTCCATCTGCTGTTCCCTTGCCTATTCCAGGCTCTTCTACTATACAAAGCCTAGGAAGAGGCCCACTAACCAACGCCAGGGTGTTCCCAGCCTGCTTTGTGCTCTTGTGGGTGGGCACAGTGGGTAGCCAGTGAGGCTAGAGTTTAGATGCAGTGTCAGCTTCATGGATTAGCATCTCCTCAAGCCTGTGTCTACTGAGCACTTGCTGAGTTGGCAAATTGGCTAGCTGCAGGTTAGGACAGCTCCTCTAAGGCAGGTGCCTTTGTGGGCTCAGGCCAGAGGCAAAGTGGCATTAGATGTTGGTCTGCTCAGGGTCTGGGAACACAGCCGGGTGGGAGTAGCTCTCCCTGAGCCTCAAAGGCCTGGGGCTGGGCACTGCGCAGGGCATCTGTGTGGACCAGCAACCCAGGGTGGATGCCCAGAAGGCCAGGGCTAGGTAAGGCATATCCATCCCAGCCCTGTTAAAGGAAGACCTGTAGTGCCAACGAAGGGAGGGATTTGGCTGAGATCACACACACACTGTGCAAAATGCCCCCCCCCCCCATGCACAGGTAGCTCTGGGTGGTTTACAAATTCTTTTCTTATGGTCCAGAGGTTGGGTTGGGACCACACTTGGAGACAGTTCCCTCATGCCATGCAAACACCAGCATCACAGCCACATGTGTGGGGCTGATCTGCAGTTGGGTATGTTGGGGCAGGCAGCTTAACCTCTCTGTACATCCAGAGAATGCACACCCAGAGAATGTCTGCACATAGCTTCTCTGCACACCCAGAGAATGGAATGTCTGGGCTCTAGTTGTTCACCTTCTACCTGAGGCTTGAGCCAGATGACCAACCCATTGTCACCTGTGAGAGGTCACACCTGTCCACCTGGGTTCCGGAGGTACTGGCAAAAGTGGAGGTAGCCAGGGGCTCCTGGGATGCAAAGCAGGCCCCCAGCAGATAAGCCCACCCAACAGCCCATGTTCTCCTGTACAGGGAAGTTCAAGCTCCTGGAGCAGGCCCGGGATGTGCGGGAGCCGGTGAGGTACTTCAGCAGCGTGGAGGAGGTGGCCAGTGTCTTCCCCGACCGCATCTTCGTGATGGAAGCTATCACTTTCAGTGTCAAGGTCAGTCCTGGTGCCAGGCACAGCCTGTCCTCACACTGGTCCCTACTTCAGGGGCAACTCTGAAGATTGCTGTCCTTAAGTCTTTGAGGGCCTTTGGGACAGTTAGTCCAGACCCAAAGAACAAGGGTGTGAGACCCACCGGGTGGAAGGACTTTCTGGAGAAGCGATGTGTGTAGTCACATTCCTGTTTTCCCAGCATGCATGGGGTGGAAGCAGGGCAGGGCGGGGGTGGCTTTGAGCACCCTTGTGTGTTCAGACAGCTCCTGCTATTCACAAAACCTTTTCTTAGGGGCTGGGAAGGTGGCTCAGTGGTGGAGTGCTTGCCTTGCATGCATGAGGTCCTGGGGTTGATTCCTCAGCACCATATAAGCAGAAAAAAAAGCGGAAGTGGCATTGTGGCTCAAGTGGTAGAGCGCTAGCCTTGAGCTGAAGAGCTGAGGGACAGCGCCCAGGCCCAGAGTTCAGGCCCACGACTGGACCCCCCCCAAAAAACAAAACCTTTTCTTATCAGTTTCTCCTCCTCCAATGGGTGGGTCAGTATTATCACCCCAATTGTGAAGATGATGTAATAAAATTTGCTGCTGACTGAATGCTTTCAAAGTACCTCCATATAGTACAGCAGTTGTCGTCACATGAAGTAACCAGCCCCAGAGCAACCTATTTAAAGCTGCAGAGATGAGGGGACTTGGTCTCCCAGATGGCAGGTCGCAGCCAGTGCCCTCAGAGCGCTGCTCATTTGCCCTGGAAGTTGCCCTGGAAGACCCTGCGTGACAGGCATGTGGCTTTCCTTGGGTCCCTGGCTAAGGCTTCGCCTGGTCTCTGGGATCCCCAGGTGGTATCGGGCGAGTTCAGCGAGGACAGCGAGGTGTACAACTTCACGCTGCACGCGGGCGACGAGCTCACGCTCATGGGCCAGGCGGAGATCCTGTGCGCCAAGACCACCAAGGAGCGCTCGCGCTTCACCACGCTGCTGCGCAAGCTGGGCCGCGCCGGGGCGCTGGCCGGGGTGGGCGGCCCGGGGGCGGCGGGCGCCGCAAGCAGCGGCAGCGGCAGGCCTATCAAAGGCAAGATGCCCTGCCTCATCTGCATGAACCATCGCACCAACGAGAGCCTGAGCCTGCCCTTCCAGTGCCAGGGCCGCTTCAGCACGCGCAGCCCGCTGGAGCTGCAGATGCAGGAGGGCGAGCACACGGTGCGCGCCATCATCGAGCGCGTGCGGCTGCCGGTGAACGTGCTGGTGCCCAGCCGACCGCCGCGCAATCCCTACGACCTGCACCCGGTGCGCGAGGGCCACTGCTACAAGCTGGTCAGCATCATCTCCAAGACGGTGGTGCTGGGGCTGGCGCTGCGCCGCGAGGGCCCCGCGCCGCTGCATTTCCTGCTGCTCACCGACACGCCGCGCTTCGCGCTGCCGCAGGGGCTGCTGGCCGGGGACCCGCGCGTCGAGCGCCTGGTACGCGACAGCGCCTCCTACTGTCGCGAGCGCTTCGACCCCGACGAGTACTCCACGGCCGTGCGCGAGGCGCCCGCCGAGCTCGCCGACGACTGCGCCAGCCCGCGCCGCGCGCGCCTCTGCCTGCCCGCGCCGCGCGCCTCCGCGCTCGCCCGCGCGCCCGGCCCGCTCGGGCTAGTGCTGCCCGCGCCCGCCAGCGACAGCGACCAGGAGTACGTGAGCCCAGACTGGGCCGGGGCGCCCGAGCCCCCCGGGCCGCCCGCTGAGATCCCCTACGAGGAGCTGTGGGCGCACCAGGCACCCGAGAGCCTCTCCGAGGGCCGCGGCCGGCTGCCGCCTGGGCCCGATCTCATCTCCTTCGGGGGCGTCGGGCCACCGCGTCGCGACTCTGAAGCGCCACCGCCGCCTGTGCCCCCCAAATCCGAGGCGGTAAGTGGGCACGCCCAGGGGCCCAGCACACGGCTCTATCTGCAGGGGAGCGGCTTAGCTTAGGGGCTCGAAAAGCCGCGGCCCGCAGTAGCAGAAGAGTTAGGGTAGCCGGGAAGAGAAAGGGTGCAAACATGGCAGAGCGTTTGCAGGGATCCTGGGGCCGTGGTATGGGGGAGCTCTGGGGAAAGAGATGCTAAGAGGTCTCCAGCCTTGAGGAACTTGGGGCAAGTCTACAGAGCCCTGCGGAATGTCCAGTGAACCTGGCCTTGAACACGCGGAGTGGCGTTTCCAGCACTCCCTCTCCTGCTTTAGAATCGGGGCCATCCCCACTTGTGAAAGGCCCAGAAAAGTCCTGCACTGAGGAATGCTCTTCCACGGTTGCCTAACGTATTTGTCGGCAGGTTGTTTGCCCTGCCCGCCCGCATAACACCTGCCAACGCCCCAGGAAACCCACTCTTGGGTACTTGACCAATGATGGCAGATTCTTCGCTTGACCTTGTCCTGTCACAGGTGTTTCTCCTTTTCCTTGAGAGGATATCAGCTTTCCAGATGGTTTTTGGTTCACTTAGTTCGTGATCGGTGTCCAGGGGCCGAGGAGATAGTGTGTGTTGTGGGCAGAGCATTGGGTTTGCAGTCGTGGCAGGCAGTGCAGGCTCATGACAGCGTGGGACAGTGGGTCGCAGACACGCCTGGGATGGTGGAGTCATAGCTCTCTACCTGCAGGTGAAGGAGGAGTGCCGCCTGCTCAACGCCCCCCCTGTGCCTCCCCGGGGTGGCAGTGGTGGGGGCAGGCTCTCTGGCAGTCCCCCAGTGCCACCCCGCTTCCCGAAGCTACAGCCCGTCCACTCACCCAGCTCCAGCCTCTCCTACTACTCTTCCGGCCTCCAGGATGGGTGAGTCCCTCCCTGAGACCTGGACTGGCCTCAGATGCACTGGGGAGCTAAGAAGAGGAGGGCTTTCCGCCTGGGTGGGCCCCAGAGAGCCCCAGCCTGCACTAACCCTTCCTGCCTCCCCTGGCTCCCTTCCTTCAGCATGGTGGATGGTGGGGTGGGAGTCTGTCTGCTTCCCTCCTTACTGGGACTTGGCTACCGGAGAGCATGCTCCTCCTCCCTGGTCTGTAGTTAATGTAACATAGTTCATTTCCCTCCTTGTCTTTCCTGACCTGGGCTGGGGTGGGGAAAGAAAGAACAGGGCCATGGGGAGGGCCCCAGGCCTCTGGTCTGGCCAGCGTTGCCTTGGGGGTACTGCTCTGTGAGTGGGAGCCTGTCTTCCCTGGCTTGGCCTTACCCCTTCTGTCTGCACCCACAGGGCGGGCTCCCGCAGTGGCAGTGGCTCCCCCTCACCTGATGCCTACTCCCTCTACTGTTACCCCTGCACCTGGGGAGACTGCAAGGCCGCAGATGCCTCTAGCCGCCCGCCGCCTGCAGGACCTCTGCCCTCCACCACCACGCAGCCCAGCCAGGCCTCCCGTGCCCTCACAGAGCCTCTGAGCCCTCGGGGGGCCTCCTTCTTGGGGGCTGACACTGCAGTCAAGACCTACCATGGCTGCCCACCCCTGTTCAAGCCCTCCCACTCCCAGAAACGCTTTGTTCCCTTTGGCGCTCTCAATCCTTTCTCTGGGTCCACATACCCCTCGGGTCCCCCAGCAGTCCCTTCCGGGCCCACATCCACTTCTGGCGCCCTGGCTGCCTCCAGCCCTGCACATTCCCCGGTTCCCGTCTCGCAGGGCCAGGGCTACTCAGCTGCTCCACCCTCATCCCCATCTTCCTCTGAGTGGCAGGAACCAGCGCTGGAGCCCTTGGATCCCTTTGAGCTGGGACAGGCCAGCTCTGAGCCAGAGCTGCTTTGCTGTCAGGAGCCCAGAGCTGTAGGGGTGCCTGGAGCCCGTCTTTCACCACTTGGTCCCCCTAAGGTCTTTGAGCCCGAAGGTTTGGCCTTGAGGCAAGCTCCTACTCCGCTGTCACCAGCCACTCTGCCGGGGTCTGAGGCAGGAGGGGCGCGAGTCTTTCTCACCCAAGGGCCTCCTGCCAGTCCTCGGGAGGGAGCAGGCTCTGGAGGCAGGGATGGCTCCTGGCAGCCCCCCGCGGACCTGTCCGCACTTTCCCTGGAAGAAGTCTCTCGAAGTCTGCGCTTCATCGGGCTCTCAGAGGATGTGGTGAGCTTCTTTGCCCGGGAGCGGATCGATGGGAGCATCTTTGTGCAGCTCAGTGAGGACATCCTGGCCGATGACTTCCGCCTCACTAAGCTGCAGGTCAAGAAGATCATGCAGTTCATCAAAGGCTGGCGGCCCAAAATCTGAGCCCCTCAGCAACTGCTACCCTACTGGCACAGCTGCACTGCTGGCTTAGGCCCCAGAGCCAACACTCCAGAAGAGAAGCAAGTCCTGTCTGCACAGATACTATGCTGAGGCCTAAGACATGGGGGAATGTTCTTCTCAGGGGTGGGCCCTGCAGAGTTGGCTTGCTGTTGTGAATAGCTGGGGAAGGGCATAGCTGTGCACCTGGCTTGGCGAGATAGAGTGGTGGTGAAGTGTGGATCAAAAGGTAGCCTTTGGGGTGGCAGAATGCCACCCCGTGTCCTGATGCAGTCCTTCAGGGACATGGCATATTTTTCAGCCCTGTAGGTTCAGATTAGACATGGGAAGATGGCCTGTAATGCATGCACAAATTCCTTAAGTGTCCTCTCTTTCTTGCTCTGTAGGCTTTTAGCCTGCAGCTCTCCTGGGGCCAGGGGTGCAGTTTCTGTGTTGGTGAAGTACCTTTCCACCTGTTCCCCCATGATTAGCTGCCTGGCCCTAAGCATTGGAATTGACCGTAAGCGTGTGCGCGCACGCGCGTGTGCGTGTGTATGTGCGCGTGGGCACGCCTCTAGGCTCTGGATTGAAGGTAGTCAGAGGAGGCTCAGCTCTGCTGTAGACCTACATTATTAGGGAGGCAGGTGCTCTCTATTTTCTGCTCCAGCCTCACCTGGCCTATCCAGTGAGGTACAGACTGGGGAAGACCAGGGAGCTTGAAGTCAGCTGCTCCTTCATTTGGGAGCAAGCAGTGGTGGATCATCCACCACTCCGCCAGTCGCCTGCTGTAAGCATTTGGTACTTGCTGATGGACATGGGGTGGACTTTTTGGTTTCTGTCACTGGAACAAGAGGATGGTACAGCTAAGGGAGGGGGGTGGCTTGGGAAAACCTGCCCTTCCTCCTTGGTGCAGTTGTGCATTTGTTCACACACTTCAGTCTGAAGCATGGTGACCGTGTGAGACAGAATCCCATCATGTCTCAGGCCCACCAGCTTCAGAGCCCATAGGGCTCAGCCTTTCGTTGGCCTTACTTGGTCTACTTAGCTATTTATTTCACTAAGGCATGTTGGTGCCTGGGCCCGTCAGACTGTCTTAGCTCTGAGGGAAGGAGTATAGTAGAACAGACACTGATGCTGTGACATTTGGTTTTCTCCTCCAAGGACTAGGGAAATAAATGCTAGACCACTGAAGAATAGCGAGTGAACGTCCAGGTGTCAGTTGCATTCTTTTGGAGGGCCATGAGGACCACAGTGCGTATGCTCCAGGCAGGAGAGGACTCAGGAATGGTGTGTGCTCATGGCCCATGCATGTGTCCCAGCTGGCAGCCCCTCGCTAGCCCCTCCCCTCCAACAACCCTTTACCTCCCACTAACATGACAAGTCACACCCACCTGGAAGTCAAACCTCAATGCCACCAGCTTGCACCCTGCATTGAAGATTGCCTGCCTTGAGGTGCTCCAGGCCCCACACAAGGTCAGGGCCTTGGTGTCTTTCTCAGTCATCTGAAAATTCCAATTCAGAGATGACCTGGTTTTAAGATCTGGCTCCCCCTGGCCAGTCCCAATATCAAGCTGGGACCAGGGAAATACCTGAAGCACCCACAGGAGAGCAGAGGCCCAGGCACCAGGAACGGCTGAGGTTACCATGTGGTGTGATGGCACTTATACTAGGATTGCACATACACTTGTGACTGAACCCACTTAGGAGTCCAGCAGTTTTGCTGGACTAGGCACTGCTTCTGGCCGGACACAGTGTGAGCTCTGCGCATGGGCAGAGCTGCTCCTCCCACCTCTCCACCCTCTTGTAGACATCTCCCACACTCTGGGGCAACCAAGAGGTGCAGGACTTTGGAGTTTCAGAGAAATGTTACCTCTTCTGTCTAACCTCAACATTCTCACAAGCACACTGAGAAGCTGACATGCGCAGGCATTTCATGTGGCCACGAAGAGAACTGGGTACTGGGGTATAGTGAGGGCCATCCTTGGGGAGAAGCATTTTGGCTGACTTGCCACCTGCCCAGCACATGCACGTGCAGCCCTGACACGGGCACAGCAGCTCCCTTTCTGGCATCCCAATCACTCTCTTTAGTGTCTAGAACTTTCCTAACACTTTCCCACCCCAAAGGCATAGTGCTTTATTCTTGAAGGAGGAGCTTAAATGAGAAGGGAGAAGCAGGCAGGCTGATAGTGTGGTTTTTATTATTATCCTGTTTGGCTGGGTGCAGAAATGCCCTTGCCATCTCTGCCACCGCTGGCCTCCTGGGAGAAAGAGGAAGCAAAGACAGTTCTAGTGGGCTTAGCTGCTGCCTTGGGCCTTGAGGTTTATAAAAGGAGCACAGGGGGTTCCGTCTTCCAATATGCAATGGACACTAATTCAGTCACGCTTCCCCAAGAGGGAGAGGTGGCCTGAGCAGAAGGCACTTAGTCAAGGAGCAAGCCCAGGCTGGAGCTGGTCTTCCTCTGTTTCCTGATACTTGCAGACAGCACCGTGGGAAAAGCAGCACTGCAGCAGTTAGTGCGTGGATGGGGCACGTGTGTGGGAGGGGGGCCGTCACTGGTAGAACTTGCTAGAGCTGCTAGCATGGTCAAGGAGCAGCTGGCATGGGGTGAACTGCTTGCCGTAGACAGCTTCATACTTCCGGAGCCGGTCCACCACCTTCTGAGCACCATGCAGATCCACAAAGCGGAAGGGCCCTGCACAGAGACACAGGACATGGCTGAGGGAGACAACAACAGGAGCGCCAACATAAAGAGAGGCAACTTCACCTGCAGACCAACCTCCGAGACAAGGCGGGAAGCCCAGCCCAAAGACGGCTCCAATGTCACCCTCTGCAGGCGTGGCCAAAATCCCTTCCTGCAGGCACAAGACTGCCTCATTCACAAATCGTGTCACCACTCGGTACTGGATATCTTCATCAGAGGAGCTGCCAACAGGACAGGAAGGGGAATTTAGAGGGAGAAGAGAAGAGGCATGCAGGGACGAGGGTGCAGAAGGGTGAAGGCAGTAGGCGATGGGGAGGCCTGCAGCCAGTCTAGACCAAAGCTGTAGAGAAGATGCAGCCGGGAGGCCCCCTTGGATAAAGGGATATTACTCCCCCTAAGGGACATGAAAGTGGGCACCCACAAAAGGACCTGACACTGAGAAGATTGCCAGTATTTCTTAACAATGGTCAAGAGCTCACGATGACAATAAAGAGCTGGGAGGTGAAGGGCTGGGAAGCGGTCCTCCTAGCCATTCTCGGGGGGTTCACAAGCAGGCCTGCACCGGGCACCACCCACTCACCGTGATGCCGGCAAGACTGAGGGCTCACACTAAGGCTTTAGACCCACACAACCCTGTACCCGCTTCTGGAAGAGGGTTGGAGGAGTTTGAGCTGTTCACATTGACTTACACTTCAGGCTTAGCAGGCAACTTCAGACTTGCGAAAATACTGTCCATGTCAGAATTCAAACTCTTGTTCTTCGAGCCCTCCTGATAGATGTAAAAGCCCTTCCCAGACTTGCGACCTAGGGGAAACAACAAGAGTAGGCATTATTCCTTGTTCTCAGCCCTGGCTGAGGACTCCTGTCTGCTGGCCGCTCCGAGGCCCTGGTCTGTGCTGTCCTCCTGAGCTCATCACAGAGCTCGCAGAGGAGGAGGAAGCTTATGTCTCAGGGAGAAAGTCATGCCGTGGTGGATTTAGTGTCAGGAAAGACAACACCAGGCTGTAAGAGGAGAGGTCCAGGCTTGACAGTAGTTTTGCTGTGAGAAGAAGCTAACTCTGCTTTCCTTTTCCACCACAAGTGCCCAGACATTATAATAAAGCCAGGATGCAGAACTGGCTCTTGAAGCTTCAGGTGCCTGTCCATCTGACATCATTTGAGCCTCGTGGTTGCAGATCCCAGAAGCCTCTGGCCATAATCTATAGGCCTCGCTTAAGAGGAGGTTCTTGATTCAAATGTGAAAACCTTGGCTCTCGAATGCTGGGATCACAGGCATGTGCCACTCTGTCTGGCTGAAATCCTTCTTGAACCTCCCTATGACTAGGGCTGTGGATTCAGGAACCCTTCCTTCATGGATCTTCCCTAATACTAGCCTCAGGAAGTGGCTCAGTGCTGTAATGAATACTGAATGCTGCTGGGTCCTGTTTCCTGGGGGCTACTTACCCAGGAAGCCTTTGACCACCATCTGTTTCAGCAGTTCTACGTTTCCACCTCCAAACCGCTCCCCAAATGCTTTTCCTAAGTCTTCAGCCACGTGTTGTGCCACATCCACACCTACTTCATCGGCTAGCGTGGCAGCACCCACGGGAAAGCCGAAGCCGGTGGTCAGGGAATCCAGCTTCTTAGGGTCAACTCCTTCCTGAACAGGAAGTGAAGCAGAGGCCTCAGGGGAAGGCCATATCAGATCTCCCCCACAGACGGGTCCTCATACCAGACTCCAGACATTGCCTGTACCAGATTTAGCCCCAGGCTAGGCCCACGACCTGCCCTGTTTCAGGGAGGCAAAAATGGGAAGTTCAAAACGTCTCCACAAGACTTCAGGTTTCAAGATGAACAAATTATTTCCTCCTTGTTTGCAACTCTGAATCTCAACAGTGAGGAGATGCTGGGGCTGGCAGGACACTGGGACTGCCAAGGTGCAGAGCTCAGGGCATCAGGACCCCAGGGAAGAGCACCCCCTTCCTTTCCCACCAGGAATGACCTGGATGGCTGGTCACAGGAGGGCCCTGTGTCTGGTTAGGTAGAAGCAGATGCAGCACCAGTCACATAGGTGGGCTCTGTTCTAGAAGGTCCCAAGCAAGAGGGGCCGCAGAGAAGGCAGGTAAAGCATATCAGGAGGTCGGGAGGGGTGAGGAGGTAAGGGGGCAGATCAGTATTCTGCCTACTGAGGGAGGCCTCAGCCCCCTGACTTTCATTCCTAGCAGGAGGGGCGCTCAGGGCCTTCTTGGGAGGGAGAGAACACAGCTCCTCGTCCTGACACCTTCAGTGTGGAGAACCGGGTAAAGGACTCACCTGGAGGATTCGTATAACTTCAGACATCATGGGTGCGAGACACCTGGTGGTGTAGAAGCCAGGTCCATCCTGCCAAGGAAGAGAAGGTGAGCGCACTGCCCGCTTTGGTTGGATGCCCCCATGCCTGAAACCTTTCCTAGATGTCACGTATCTGCAATCAGAAGAAGCCACCCCAGGCTACCCGCCCAGCAGGTAGTCTCACAGTCCTGCCCCAGGGCTGGAATGGCTAGGAGAACGCTGTTCCATCCCAGACACTCCTTGCAACTACCCCGATGCAGTGGTCAACACTGTCCCCACTGGAGACAACTGCTGGACACTCCCAGAAGCCACTCTACTTACCTCAGAATAGTAAAGAAACCAGCCTCCAAGTCCAAGGAGTCTTCAGAACTTCTCAAAATCTGTTGCTGTTGTGGCTCCTTACCTTAACCACAATGATGACTTTCCCCTGCCTGAGGCCAACGGCCACGGCGGAAGCAGTCGTGTCCTTGGAAGTTTTGTCTGTTGTGATGATTTCCAGCAGCTGCATCTTGTCCACAGGAGAGAAGTAGTGCATGCCAATCACCTGGCAAGGAGAGCCCAATGCCAACAGTGACAAATGCTGACCAGGGAGCCTAGTACCTTCCTCTTTATGCCAGGAAAACAACGGCGAGAAAGCAGCTGGGATGCAGGGGCAGCTGGTACCGACTAATGGCCTGGTGCCCTGATCTCCAAGTTTAGTACGTTCAGGGTGAGCTCACTGGAATCCATCTTTTCTACTTGCTTCTAAGGGACATCTGATCCTACCAGTAATCAGTACCAAAGTCATGTCTAATGGGCAAAGTAGATTTATTGGAGAAGAATGAAGGTTCCACTCACAGCCATGCTGCTGATGGTTTAGGTTGAGAGATGGGAGAAGGGACTAGGTGTGGTTCATTAATATGCTGGGCTGTCAGGCTGGCCTCATCACCAGAGACTCAGTGAACTGCAGCATCTCGTGGGCATCAGCCTCTCAGGATGGTAGGCCCGCCCTAAGCATTTACTATGTACTACTCACATCAGTTAGATGTGGTACTGATTTCTCAATCCAAAACTGCTCATAACCCCTGTACTATACTTAGGTCTTAAATATTTAGGGTCTGAGCTAATATATAGATTCCGCACAAAGTTGTGCCAAAGCTGACTATTCAACCTGGACAGCTAGGACTTCCTCAGTCAGAGGAATGGGACTGTCCTTAGTTTGGAGAACATACAGACCTTTGGTCCTCCTCCTCCTCAGGCCCCTGTGGCTTTGCTTTGATAGGAATGACCTCAGACAAACAGGTAAGAAAGCTCTGCGGGACGCCCGGAGGCTCAGGCTGCACAGTGTGGGGAGGAGGAATACTTAAAGCAACTATGTCCAGGGCAGTGGGACAGGTCAGTAATGGTCCGTGCATAGCTTCAGTGTCTTCCCTCAGAGCTGACAACTGCCTGCCACCTCTCCTGACTTTTCTCTTGTCTTCCTAAGTTGGCCATCGTTTGCCCCTTCATTAGCTTGATTTTTGATACACAGAATTGTTAGCAATTTCAGATGCCCGTTATATTTCCTGCCAGCCTTTGGCTGGTTCTGGTGTTCTCCGGAGAGGCAACCTTTCTTTCTCCTTGAATCACTGCGCTTCTCCCCAAGCACTCTGGTTGAGTCGAGGCAACTTGGCAGGCAGCACTGCACATACTCACTGTAACCAGCCCTTTCTCGACCTGCGTGGCAAGTCTAAATGAGCCACAGGTGCTGCACCCTGAATCTCCATTCTCACACCTGGAGTTGCAGTCTTACCCATTCTAAACAGCACTAGACTCTCCTTAGCTGAAGGGATTCTGTGGTGCATCCCTCTTTGTTTTCAGGCTAAGGCCAGGTCTTACAGTCTGAGTTTGAAAAATAATGCCCAGTGGGGTTGCAAACCACCATATCAACACCGATTTTAGACAGATTCCACTTATTCCCTTATCTGTAGATTATGATATTTCCTATGTCTGGTGCTTTACAATTCTACAGGTCCTTTCTCTACTCCATGCTCCAAGCCTTAGCCAGTGAGACTAAAACACTGCCCAGTTTACCTTCTCTGGCCTTTTGCTGACAGCAGCAATTTGATTGATCGGGAGAGCAGATGTGTTGCTGGCAAAGATACAGTGCTCAGGAACCACCTGCAGGGGAAGATCATTAAACGTGTCACGAGGGACCTAGGCCCAGCCCCCACTGTGGCCCGCACAGCTGCTATCACTCATTCACTGGGGAAGTCACCCATCGGCTTCTGTGCTGGGGAATGTGTTGACCTGGTTCTCATACTAGTTAAGCCTTTCCCTAGTTCTGGCCTATCACAATGTGCCTGATCCTGAGCTGGACACTGTAGCTCAGCACTTGGTTAAATACAGTGGCTTAAAACACTTAAAGGATGCAGGTATGACAGCATACGACACCCCTTAGCGCCACTCCTTACCTTTAACAGAATAGTGTTTAACTCATTCTATACAGTGTTACTGAAAGATAGTAGATCATAATATTAATATGCAGACTGCACAGATGTTACTATTAGTTTTACCAGTCTACATTGCAGACTGTTACAGCAGACTGACTGTGATCCCAACTCACTCATGTTTTATTCAGATGCCTGGCTGAAATACAAGTCTGGGACAGGCAGAATCAAACATCAGAGATGAAAAGCAAGATTGAAAATACACATAACACACTGAAAGGTTTGAGAGTGGAATGAGGTCAGTTATGAGGGCAGTAGGTAAAAGGCATGAGATTAAAGAACTACACAGGCCCTTGGTAGCCAAGACATAGCCTGGCAAGAAATAGTAACCAAAACCTCATGATTTTAGTTCATCAGAAGTGGAATGTGAGCTGAGACTGGAAGTGCAGACAGAAGAATTAGGGGTTTGACATTAGCCTAAGCTACACAGCAAGTTCTAGTCATCTTGTAATCCTAGATACATAGGTACAGACATGGGAAGACTAGTTTGAAGTAGCCTGGGCAAAAAAGTTAAGTGACACCCTATGTCAAAAGATACACTGTAGCTGGGTGCCAGTGGCTCATACCTATAATCCTACCTATTCAGAGGGCTAAGATCCTGCTGGCTTGGGCAGGAAGGTCCATGAGTCTGTTACTTTCAATTAATCTCCAAAAAGCTGGAAATATGAGCTAGCCTTGAGCAAAAAACCCCAGAAACAAAACAAACTCAACAACAACAAAAAACCTCCAATAGGGCTGGGTATGTGGCTTAGTGGTAGAGTGCTTGCCTAGCATGCATGAAGCCCTGGGTTCAATTCCTCAGTACCACATTAGCAGAAAAAGCCAGAAGTGGCACTGTGGCTCAAGTGGTAGAGTGCTAGCGTTAAGCAAGTGAAGCAGCTCAGGGACAGTGCTCAGGCCCTGAGTTCAAGCCCCAGGACTGGCAAAAAAGAAAAAAAAAAGTAAAACAACAACAACAAAAAGCTAAAGGAGGGGCTGGGAAGGTGGCTCAGTGGTAGAGCGCTTGCCTTGCATGCATGAGGCCCTGGGTTCGATTCCTCAGCACCACATAAGCAGAAAAAAGCCAGAAGTGGTGCTGTGGCTCAAGTGGTAGAGCGCTAGCCTTGAGCTGAAGAGCTGAGGGACAGCGCCCAGGCCCAAAGCTCAGGCCCCAAGACCAGCAAAAAAAAAAAAAAAAAGCTAAAGGACAGCACCCAAGCCCTGAATTTAAGTCCCAGTATCAGCACAATGCTCGCTCCTCTAGCCCTCTCCCCTAGGGGGAAAAAAAAACAAAAAACAAAAAAACAAGCTGCAACAAATGCTGGTGGCCTGCATCTGCAATCCTAGATACTCAGGTGGCTGAGATCTAGAAGATTATGGTTCAAAGCCAGCATGAACAGAAAAATTCTCTAGACTCCATCTCCAAGATAACTATCAAAGAGCAGGACTGGATGCATGACGCAAGTGGTAGAGTGCTAGCCTAAGAACAACAAAAGGCAGGCGGTGGCACATGTCTGTGATCTCAAATATTCGGGAGATGGAGGCAGGAGGATCATGGTCTGAGGCTGGCCCTGGTAAAAATAAAAGACTCTCAAGGACAGGGTGGCTCACATGTGTAAAACTAGCTACTTAGGAAGTTTGTGGCTGGAGGCCAGCCTGAGCAAAAAGTCAGTGAGACTTTAAAGCTGATATAGTGTGATGTGTCTATAATCCCAGCTATGCAGGCAGTGTAGGTCAGAGGATCACCGTCTAGGTCAGCTTGGGCAAAACAAAACAAAACAAAACACCCTAAAGCATAAAGGGCTAGGATGTCGCTCAAGTGGTAGAACACCTGCCAAGCAAATGTGAGGCCTTGAGTTTAAACCTCAGTACCACTAGACTGATAGAGACAGACAGACAGACTGACAGACAGGCAAACAGGAAAGAAGGAAGGGAAGGAGGGAATGAAGGAGGGAAAGGAAAGTAAGTAAAGGCCGGGTGGGCTTATATTCTTAAGATATGTTCTAATACAGATCTATCTGGACTTCATTCTTCCACATCTTCTGAATAGCTTCTTTAACTAGTGCCCACCTTAAATAATTTCAGTAATATCACTAAAGGCCTCTGAGATGCTGTATAAATAACAACATTTTGGATTTTCTCTGTATAAACCATCTTTCTAGCTATAGCTGGTACCTCTCCCCTCACTGTGTGTGATGACTCAATGATTTCTGAGCACCTTTCTTCAAGTGGTGGGATTACAGGCATGCACTCTTCTAGGATTCACACGTAGCAACCCCTTACTTACCGCTTCCACTTCCTTCAGCACTTTGTGCTTAACACTAAGGTCTTCAAAAACAGCTTCAATCACCATGTCTGCCTTTTCAAAACCCTGGTAATCAAGCTGCCCAATCAAGTTGCTGAAGATGGAATCCCTTTCAAAGGAGGTGAGCGCTTTCTTCTTCACTTTGTCATTCAATCTGGAAGAAATACAACCCTGATCAGAGGGGAAGAAAAGGAGACTATCCATCGGTCAGACAGCTGCTGTGTGTGTCACTGTTTGGGAAATGTTCAGTTACCCACATTTTGAGGAAGCCAAGTTACTCCTAGAGGCTCCAAAGGACTATGATCAAACAGCTAGTTAAGTGTTCAAAGACAGATTGATCCCCAAACAAACATGCTTTCTACTATACAATAGCTTGTAAGGTTCATCTTATATAAACTGTATTCCTCATAAAGCAGTTCAATTTGTCAACAGGAGTAAAGAACTCAAGTATGAGATTGGCAAACAAAAATGCAGTTGGGTACCAGTGGCTCATGCCTGTAATTCTAGCTACTCGGGAGGCTGAGATCTGAAGACAGTGGTTTGAAGCCTATCCAGAAAAGTGTGGGAATCCATCGCCATTTAACCATAAAAATGCTAAACTGGAAGCATGGCTCAAGTGGTAGAGTACTAGCTGAGCATACAAGCTGAGGGAGAGCCCAAGGCCCTGAGTTCCAGCTCCAGTGCCAGAATAAACACCCAGAAGAGCAGCAGCTCTGCTAGTGTTTTCCTGCTACAGGGGAAATAGCCACAGTAAATCCTAGACCACAGAGTGTTACACTGGCCTGTGTCACATTATGTTGTTCCCTGGCTACAGCCTTCTAGAGGATGGAGACTAAGCACTACTTTTTCCCTCCAGTGCTAGGCATGGACCCCAGGGCCTTGCTTGTGGAAAGCATACTCACATGTACACAAGCACATGATCGCTGCGCTACATCACCAGCCAAGCCCTGTTCCTCACACTTCCCCCTGCTGCCCTCTTCGCACCAAGCAGCACACTGCAATGACCACGTGAGTAGAATTCAAGGATTCTCCTGTCTCTAAGAGATCCTTTCCCCAAGAGAGCTAAAGAGATTCTTACTACTCAGTTAGTGGAGTGCTTTTTATTGTCAAGGAAAAATGGCTCTCTGAGGTTCACTTGGACCACACTTCCAGAATAAATAACCTGTTTCCTTTGAATAAAGACTGAAGCTAAACCCCATTCGCCAATTTCCTGAACCAAAGGAAAAGCTAAAACCACAGGAAAGTTAAAAGAAGTATCTAACATCCAATAATGGTCTTAAAAGCCTGCACTTCAATCTGTTGGTTTCTGACAACCACAAAAGCAGTTAGCAAACAAACAAGTGCAATGCAAACACATAATTAGTTGTTCTAATACTACTGAAACTACTGCTGGGAGGGGACAGGAAACATTATATCCTGTCAGCAGTGGCAAATACTAGAATGGAACCTGATGTTTCAAAGATGAAAAGGGGAGCCTAGATGGTTGTATTCTTCTAGAAGGGGTCACAGGAGGTCCCCCCATAGCAACAGCTCTCATTCTGATGATTGTAGGAGATGCTGTTTGGGATCCTTACATACTAGTTTCAGGGGGTTGCTGCTACTTACCTAGTGCTAGAATTAATTTTTTCTTTCTTTTTTGCTCTACTTCTAGCTTTTTTTCCTGGTTAGTTGAAAATCAGAGTTTTACATCTTAACCCCAGCTTTCTCAGCAGACAGTGCCCTGTGGCCTCAGTAATCCTTTACACTACAGCAACTACAGCAAAATCCACACATCTGAATTTCCAATCTGATACAAAGGCATAAAATAAATGATATTTAAAATATCTACTAAGAGGGCTGGGAATGTGGCTTAGTAGTAGAGTGCTTGTCTAGCATGCATGAAGCCCTGGGTTCGATTCCTCAGTACCACATACACTGAAAAAGCTGGAAGTGGTGCTGTGGCTCAAGCGGAATAGTGCTAGCCTTGAGCAAAAAGAATCTCAGGGACAGTGCCCAGGCCCTGAGTTCAAACCCCAGGACTGGGGGGAAAAATCTACTAAGAAAAAAATAAATCCAAAACAAAACAAACACATTTTCTACTAGAAAAAGGTTTCCCTTCTGTGCTAAAAGACTATAGACTCCAGTGTTGTAATGGTCTAGGATATCTATTACACAAAGAACTGAAACAAGAAGTTAATGTTTCTGCCAATCAAAGGACACTTGGCTTAACTATGGATCAGTACGCAGCATCATATTCAGGAATAAGGAGTCTGTGATGGTAAAAACCTCCAATCAAAGCAAAATCACCAAAAACCCCAAAACACTCCCCAAAGATTTTAATTCCTGGCATAACCAGAGCAGGCTTACCCTTTGAACACCTGTTGCTGCCCACGGCCCAGCCCGGCCACTGTAGCATCTTTAAGTAGAGTCTTCATCCCCTTATCCACAGAGACTTGAGCAATGCCAGCTCCCATCAGTCCTGCACCAAGAACAGCTAGATGCCTGAAATGAAAGGTTGGAATGATTTTGGTAAACACTCTTATTCATTTCAGTATTTGGAAGATGACACAAATTATCCTATAAACCAACTTCAAAGTACTTTTAAAAATTTTATGTTGCCACCGGGCGCCAGTGGCTCACGCCTATAATCCTAGCTACTATGGAGGCTAAGATCTGAGGATTGCGGTTCAAAGCCAGCCTGGGCAGGAAAGTCCATGACACTCTTATCTACAATAAACCACCTGAGGAGCTGGGAAGGTGGCTCAGTGGTAGAGCGCTTGCCTTGCATGCATGAGGCCCTGGGTTCGATTCCTCAGCACCACATATGCAAAAAGAAAAAAGCCAGAAGTGGCGCTGTGGCTTCAAGTGGTAGAGCGCTAGCCTTGAGCTGAAGAGCTGAGGGACAGCACCCAGGCCCAGAGTTCAGGCCCCACGACCGGATCCAAAAACAAATAAATAAACCACCTGAAAACTGGAAGTGGCATTGTGGCTCAAATGGTAGAGTGTCGCCTTGAGCTGAAGAGCTCAGGGACAGCACCCAGTTCAAGCCTCACGACTGACATAAATATTCTATTCTGAGGCTGGGAATGTGGCTTAGTGGTAGACTGTTGCCTTGCTTGCATAAAGCCCTGGGTTCGACTCCTCAGCACCATATAAACAGGAAAAGTCAGAAGTGATGCTGTGGCTCAAGTGGTAGAGTGCTAGCCTTGAAGAAAAGAAGCTTAGGGTCAGTGTCCAGGCCGAGTTCAAGCTCTAGGAGTGGAAAAAATAAAATCATAAAATCTACTGGGTCCAAAATGACTAGACTCCCCACAAAGGCAGAACCACACTAGCTTTCAATAGTACCTACCCCATCTGAGTCAAGCAACAAGAGTATTTTTGTTTTTTCTCCCACCTCCTTCAGTACTGGTTTGGAATCTCTACCTCACCAGACTCTCATCTGCCTCAGCTGGACTTTTATCCATTTATCTTGTTTTGGGTTGTAATCTCATCATTAACAATAGCTGTCTCTCTGAAATCCTTTATAGTAATTCAGCTAGAACAGAGCTCTTCAACCCAGCCACTACTGACATTCTGGATTGGGTAATTTCTGGGGGCTGTGCTGCACATTGTAGGGTATCAGTAACACTCCTAGCCTCTACCACTAGATGTCAGGAGGATTCCTTGCTTCCCAGATGTGAACCAAGGCTGTTACTAAAATGGCCCCAGTAGGGGATAAAATTGTCTGGGCTGAGAAGCACTGAGCTTAGAAGGTGTGTCCAAGCACCATGAAACTTAGGATGCTGAAAAGCTGTCAGGAAGCAAAACAGAGAAAAAGGGCCTCTGACAAGATAGCCATGGGATTGGCAAGAGCAGTCTTATTGCTTAGACTCAAAGAAGCCATGACTGTAACAATTATATCTCTGTAGAGAAGGAAGTATTCTTCCAAGACAGCATCTCATGTTGGAGGGAGAAAGAAGACCATGAAATGCCAGCATGTGTATTAGTGTCAGGAAGGGGAAACTAAACCAGACTGCTAGGGGACATCCATATGAGAAAAGAAAGCTTGTTTACAGAAGCTAGGAACCAGTGGTTCACACCTTAATTCTAGCTACTCATGAAACTGAGATCTGAGCATCATGATTCAAAGCCAGCCCAGGCAAAAAAAATCCCCGAGGCCCTATCTCCAATTAACTAGAAAAATGCTGGAAGTGGAGGTGTGGCTCAGAAGGACCTGGAGAAAATTCTGAATAAGTAGAACTTTGAAAACCAAAATAAAAGGCTCAGGTTGAGGGCAAGACTAAATTAAGAGCCAGGTGGCAGTGGCTCCTATCTATAATCCTAGTGACTCAGGAGGCTGAAATCTGAGGATCAAGACAAATTTGTGAGACTCTCCAATTAACTAGCAAACAGCTGGAGTGGAGATGTGGCTCCAGTGGTAGAATCCCAGCCTTGATTGGAAAAAGCCAAGTCAGAGCTTAAGGCCCTGAGTTCAATTCCTAATACCAGCATTAAAAAGTAAAGATATAAATCTAGTTTCTGCTTGGCCAGTGGGTTATGCTTGTAAGGCTAGCTACTCAGGAGGCTAAAATTAGGAGGATCTCAGTTAGAGGCCAGCCTGGAGATTAGAAGGATCTTGGTTAGAGGCCAGCCTGGGCAAAGATGAGCCCCTCCCCCACCTCAATGGGAATTGCTGGGATATAGTGATGTGTGTCTGTCTTCCCAGCTACAGCAGGAAGCATTTAATTGGAGCATTAAAAACATCTCTAAGCTTTGTACAGAGTAAAATTCATAAGGGCTTGCTAAGCAGTTTAACTTACTTAACATCCTTCTGTGGAACTCCAAACTTATTCTTCTTACACAGGACTTGGCCATTATAAAGTCCTACCAAGGCCTTTGATTCCTTGGTTAGTGCTAGCTCTCCAAAGTTCTGAAAAGGAAAATCAAGTGTCTGAGTCATCAGCTCCTTCATTCTGCTCTGTGGAGAACAGACACTCCATGCCTTGGTTCTTCAAGGCCTTAAGCAGAGGCTGTGTGGACTAAGCTCCCACTGGCGGACCTCTTCTACACTACTCTCTCTGGGGTACTTTCCCACCAGTGCTCTGAAAAGGCTTTGGAAGTAACAAGCTCTCAGATTCCTTAAAGCACGGACCGGGAACCTCTGTCAAGGACTCATCTCACAGCCAAATGGACCTTCACAATCATTTCCAACCACCAGCTCCAACTACAGACTGAGGAAGCTCAGAGACATCAAGTGACTGCCTCAAAAATGGCAGACATCTGTAATAAGTAATTCAGCGTAAAAACTGTCCTGGTCCTCTGCTAGTGGTTCAGCCTGTATTCCTGGATACACAGAAGGCTAAGATCTGAGGATCAAAGTTCAAAGCCAGCCTGGGCTGGAGAGTATGTAAGACTCTAATCTGCAATTAACCATCAAAAAGTTAGCGATGGGGCTGGAAGGTGACTTGGTGGTAGAGTGCTTGAAGCCCTGGGTTTGATTCCTCAGTACCACATAAACTGAAAAAGCCGGAAGTAGCACTGTGGCTCAAGTGGTAGAGTGCTAGTCTTGAGCCAAAGCTGTTCAGGGACAGTACCCAGGCCCTGAGTTCAAGCCCCAGGACTGGAAAAAAGAAAAATTAAAAAAAAAAAAAAAAAAAAGAAAAAAAGTTAGCAATGGATCAAGTGGTAGAGATCTAGCTTTGAGTAAAAAAGCTATGGGACAGTGCCTAGGCTCTGAGTTCAAGTCCATACTGGCATGTACACCCGCGTGTGCGCACGTGCACACACATACACACACACTCACCACCACCAACAAAACCAAAAGACAAGACAAAAAGAAAAAAGACAAAACCAAAAGAAAACTACCTCAAACTACCCATTTAAATCTGGATTACTACCAATTTGCTAGAATAGTGAAAGGGGTGTGACTGTTTTGCATATCACTTTTATCTTTGTCTTTTGCTGAGTACAGACCCTTGAAAATTTTTAATTCTCCAAAAGAGGCTGGATTTAAATATTTTATTTCTAGTCTCTGACAAGTAAAAAAATTCTCTATTAAGGTATGCATTTGATCACAACAAAATCAGCCTAAATGCAGAACAAAATCATCCATGGGACTTATTAAGAGTGAGTTCACCCATCTGCAGACCACATCTCATCTCAGTGTCAGGAGATTAATCCTAAGAGATGACAATCACTGGGAGAGAGAATGCTTCCTAGGTTTCATGCATATAGGTCGTTCAGCTTTAAACAGATTATTGGGTCTTTAGTATTCCTGTAACATAAGAGAAAAAACTGGGAGGAAACTTTACCTGTGATTCAGCAAGATAACCAGCATCATTCCCTTGTTCGAGTCCAGTCTTCACTGCCTAAAACATAGAAAGCTTTTGTTTAGGATGGGAATGTATTGCAATGAACAATCATATTGAATTAAATGGCTTGTATTGTTAGTCTTCAACGAAAATAGATCACAAGTCCAGATTTGTGACAAAGACAAAAGTGCCTGGCTGCTTCATACTGATATAACTCTTCAACTTCAAGGCTATGCTGAAGCCGGAGGAAAGAGGCGGGGGGGGGGGGGGGGGGGGGGGGGGGGGGAGCATATCTGGTCCAGACCAGCAGGAGAGTACTGTTTTGGAGGAGGGAGGATTATGAGGTTGAGAGTACCAGACAAGACTTACATCAATAATTTTCAGAGGTGCTGGATAGAGGCCTTTGGTTTGCTTCCGTACTTTTTCTTCTACTGTTTTGTAAATCTGTTGTCTGACAAATGGAATACTCATGGCATACGATGTCAATTCTGTAAGGTAAAATATTTTTAGATACTTACTAGAAAGAGCTTAGCTCCTCTTGTTAAATTTACGTTGTGAATGCCATAAAAATGCAGTAATACTATCTGAAAGTGTTGCTCTTCAGTCTGATATATAAAACCTAAATGCTGGGGCTGGGAAGATGGCTTAGTGGTAGAGTGCTTGCCTTGCATGCATGATTCCCTGGGTTCGATTCCTCAGCACCACATAAGCAGAAAAAGCCGGAAGTGGTGCGGTGGCTCAAGTGGTAGAGTGCTAGCTTTAAGCTGAAGGACAATGCCCAGGCCCAGACTTCAGGCCCCATGACTGACAACAAAAAACACCAAAAAAACAAAAAGCAGTAACAAAAAACTAAATGCTAACACATGCTTTAATATATTGATAGATGTTGCAGCTTGGCCTTGGGTACACATGTGTTTATTACACTATTACAATGGTTTACTTTTGCATTATTTTTAAAAAAATTTTGCAAACTAACAAGATTTCTAAAAATGACTGGCCAATGTAGGTTGAAGACTTGGTCCTAGAGTAGAGTTGGGGCATACCTTAAGGTTAACTTTACCCTTAAAAGAGTAAATAATGAATTTACCCCTTCCTTATTCTGAGTAACAAATAAATGTAAAATTACCCAGGACTGCAGTTCTGTCTTTGTTCCTTAACAATGATACTCACTTTCTATCAATCCCTTGTTTCTCTTTGTAGAGATCTTTTTATCAGCTAGTCCTTTGGCAAAAGTAACCGCAATTTCTTCTAGGTATTCAATTGTCCGGTCCTCTGGAGGTTTTATTCCTGGTCCTGTAAACAAAAGAAAATAAAACAATTACAACAAATTAGAATGCAGACCAGGTTAGATAAGATCCAGAAAATGGAAGCACTTCAAAGCCAAAGGCTACAAAAGGCTACAGAACAGCTTTCCATTTCAGACTAGAGATGGTAGGTGCCATTAGTAGTGAGTGAACTATGGCGTCAGAGAGGGTAAACAACACTAAGGAAGAGGACAATAATATGCTCTTGATAGAAACAATTTTTTTTTTTTTTGGGTCCGGTCGTGGGACCAGAACTCTGGGCCTGGGTGCTGTCCCTCAGTTCTTCAGCTCAAGGCTAGCGCTCTACCACTTGAGCCACAGTGCCACTTCCGGCTTTTTTCTTTTTTTTTGCTTATGTGGTGCTGAGGAATCGAACCCAGGGCCTCAGGCATGCAAGGCAAGCGCTCTACCACTGAGCCACCTTCCCAGCCCCTAGAAACAAACTCTTAAACCCTTTTAGTCTGTCTTCTACTTCTCTAGGGTATGTCTTGTATGGTCCATATTCTTGTTGGAAAACTGGGGAAAAAATGAGTAAGTTATATTATTTGTAAAGACCTACAAAGCTCCCATGTGAACTAAAATTCCAGAGGAGAGAGTTTATCTTAGAAGATCTGATGAGTGCTATCATTTTTCTTTTGAGGCGTATGATACTTTGAGTTATAGGCTGAAGACTTGGTTCAGTGATGGGACTGGGGGAGAGTGACTTTTTGATGGTCACATCCAGCATACCAGAAGCCAAGAGAAACCAAGTAGAGAGCCAGTTCTTCCATGGGACATTTTAGAGATCTAGGGTAGTATTATTCTGCCAAAAGGCAGAATGAAATCTCAAGAGGTTTACTATGCAAAGTACATCTTTGTAAGAGGGAACCTCTAAAGAAAAGATTAGAAAACATAAACACATGGCATCAGAAAACATCCAGAATGAAAGAACAATAAAGACAAATCCAAAACTTCATTTTTAACATAATTTTAAATTGTGATTAAGAGATTACATAAATTTCACAAATGTCACAGTATTGTGAGGTAGTAATTCTTAAAGTCACAAAAACATTCTAAACCTTCATGACGCAAATTGTCATTATCGTGGTCTATAAAGTTTGTGAATTCTGAGCTTTGACAATAAATGAAACTTTCTTCCACCTCAGGTGATATGTGCATTGCTTTCCTTTGCTTAGTGTCAGCTGTTCCTCTTTCCCTCTCATTCCCTCCCTCCCATCGCTGCCCTTGAGTTGCTTAGTTTGTTTTCATCAATGTGCAGTGCAGCTGATGGGCGTCTCTGTTGTATATTTTCCCCTATTTCCCTCTGATTCTGTGCCCTCCTCCTAGATTCCCTCAGATGTGTGCATATATATACCATGTATGCAGTCAACAACATAGGGTCATTTAGTAATGACGACAGGATGAGTGGAGGTCCTTTAGTTCTCAAGTCCTGTTTACTTTGTCATATCTCCTTGCATTTTAGATTTGACATCCACATATCAGGGAGACCATATGCCGTTTGTCTCTGCTTACTCAACATGATTTCTTCTAGTTCCATTCATTTCCCTGCGAATGCCATTATTTTGTCCTTTCTAATGGATGCATAATATTCCATTGTATATAGGTACCACAAATTTTGGATCCATTCATCTATAGTGGGGCATCTGGGTTCTTTCCATAGCTTGGCTACTGTGAACAATGCAGCAATGAACATGCAGGTGTGAGTGTCCTTGTATCCTGGTTCCTGTTGCTCAGGACAGATGCCTAGGAGTGGTATGGCTGCGTCATAGGGGAGGTCAATATTTAGCTTTCTGAGGTACCTCCAGACTTCTTTCCAGAGTGGTTGTCTAAGTGTACATTCTCACTAGCAGTGTAATAGGGTTCCTCTTTTTCCACATCCCCTCCAGCATTTGTCGTTGGTTAAATTTAGGATGTGGGCCATTCTGAGTGGGGTAAAGTGGTATCTCAGGGTTGCTTTTATTTGCATTTCCTTTACAACCAGAGATGATGAATATTTCCTCATGTATTTCTTTGCCATTTTTATCTCTTCTTCTGAGAAGTCTCTCTTTAGTTCCCTTGCCCATTTAGTAATTGTTTTGTTAGGTTTGGGAAGGATTAGTTTCTTGAGCTCCCTGTACATAATAGATATTAGGCCCTGTCTGATATATTGCTGGTAAAATTTTTTATTACCAATTAGTTGGCTGTCTTTCTAGTTTGGTTGCTATGTCTTTAGATGTGCATAAACTTTTTATTTTAAGGTAGTCCCACTTGTCGAGTCTCTCTCCAATTTGTGGTGACCCTGGGACTTTGTTCAGGAAGTTCCTGCTGTACCTATAAGTGCAAGTGTCTTTCCTATTCTGTCCTGCAGTAGCTAAAACTTCATTTTGGACATATCAAATGATCCAATGTATGTGAAAATGCAATCTCCATAAAGGGAGTGAGGGAGAAAGAAAATATTTGAAGACTAGCCAAAGAAGAAAAATGCCCACATATTTAAGACACTCAATTCTGGTCTGTGCAGAATATGGATGGATATGGTAGAATGACTATTGTTAAAAATCTAAGCCAGGGGTAACTGCACTGAAACTGGCAGTTTACATGTGGTTTCATTGCTTGTGTACCTGATACACAGTGCTGATCTGGCAAGAGTGTCTTTACTTGACACCTATTGGAACTTCCACTGTCTTACCTTAGGGATGGGGATATTAACTGTCCAGCCACAAATGAACAATTTAGCATCCATTGTCTTTCCTTTCCACAAGACATCATGGCATTACACTGAGTGAGTCAGGTAAGCAGGAAGTACCAACTATTCTAGGCTTACTGGTAAGACATCGATGTGTCAATACATGAGAAATAAATCCCATAAATATCCAAGGCTTTCTGCTTTAGTGAAATTTCTAGGGATCTAGTGGGAACATAAGGGTAATTTTTTTTTGGGGGGTCCGGTCAAGGGCCTGAACTCTGGGCCTGGGTGCTGTCCCTCAGCTCTTCAGCTCAAGGCTAGCGCTCTACCACTTGAACCACAGCGCCACTTCCGGCTTTTTTTTTTTTGCTTATGTGGTGCTGGGGAATCGAACCCAGGGCCTCAGGCATGCAAGGCAAGCGCTCTACCACTGAGCCACCTTCCCAGCCCCAGGATAATTTTTTTTAAAGGTGAAGAGTAAGGTGGTATATCTAGCCCCTCCTACTACTCAAAAAATAGGTACCATAGCTGGTGGCCACTTTGGATTTTTTTTTTTTTTTGGTCCGGTCGTGGGGCCTGAACTCTGGGCCTGGGCACTGTCCCTCAGCTCTTCAGCTTAAGGCTAGAGCTCTACCACTTGAGCCACAGCGCCACTTCCGGCTTTTTTCTTTTTGCTTATGTGGTGCTGAGGAATCGAACGCAGGGCCTCAGGCATGTAAGGCAAGCGCTCTACCACTGAGCCACCTTCCCAGCCCTGCCACTTTGGATTTCTGAGACAATATAGCACTCATTCAGTCTATTGACTGAATAACTTTAAAAAGATGTGGTAGTGTACATCAGCCATCCTAGCACTCAGGAGGCTAAAGCAGGAAGATTATGAATTTGAGGCTAGCCTGGCCTACACAGTGAGAACTTGTCTCACAAAAGGTGTGGGGGTGGGGAGGCAACAATAAATAATCTGTTGCGGGGCCAGAACAGGAGACACTACCCTGTGTTCGGATTATGTGATTCAAACCTGATGTGCTTGGAGCATGACACAATGCTTCATGGCACTCACGAATTAGGAAAACCCTACCATCCTCTGTGAATGATTGCTTTTCAGTTTGGAAAAGGTTAGTGTGTCTCAGTGCAAATTCAAAGCCTAGCTCTGGGTCATCATGTTACCAAGTGACCTGAGCTGCCTTTCATGAAATAGATGTTTTAAATCCAAGGAGCAATCAAACCGGGATGTACAACAGCACTTCACCACCAAGTGGAAGTGGTGGATGGGAGACAGCCAGAATGACGCTAATGGCATAAGCTGCCAAAATGTCCCTTTCTCCTCCTCTCCTCAGCTGCACCTGTGCCCTCACAGGTACTTCCATACAGCCAGTTGGTAGAGAAAGAAAACTCATACTAGTTTGTAGATAGTTGTGTGATACGCAGGGTCCATCTGCAAGTGGACAGCTGCCACACATCAATCCCTTTCTCGGGCATCTCTGAAGGACAGTGGTGATGGGAGAGCCTAAACTTCAAGTGGTGCACCTGCTTGGAAAGGGAAAAGGTCAGCACTGTATGCTCATGCTGATTCATAGGCTACAGCCAAACGTTTGGCCAAAATGGTCAGAAACGTAAAAGGAACGTGGGTACAAAATTGGTGACAAGGTGTTATAGCCTGAATTGTGTTCTTTAAAAAGTCATGTTGAAGTTCCAGTATCTCAGAATGTAGCTGTATATTTGAAGAGGCAATTACGTTATTAGGGTCGGACCTAATCCAATCTGACTCATATAAAAGAAATGTGGATGCATGGAAGAGACACCAGTGAGAAGATTGTAATTTTTGAGCCAAATTGTTTTTAAAAGCCTCAGAAGAAATGAACCTACTAACACCTGATCTTAGACTTTTAGCTTCCAGAACTATGATCATAACTGGCTAGCTGGTTGTGTGTGTGTGTGTGTGTGTGTGTGTGTGTGTGTGTGTACTGGGGCTTGAACTCACTTTCCCTTGGATTTTTCCACTCATCACTAGTGCTCTACCACTTGGGCCACACCTTTACCCCTGGCTTTTTGCTGACTAATTGGAGATAAGAGTCTTGAGGATTTGTAGGCCTCGGTTGGCTTTGAATGTCAATCCTCAGATCCTGGCTTCCTGAGTAGCTAGGATTATAGGCATGAGCCACAAGTGCTAGCTTTCTTTTCTCTTTTCTTTCTTTTCCTCCCCCGTCTCTGTCTCTTTTGTGCTACTGGTGTATAAACTCAAGGCTCTGCCTTCATAGGCAAGTGCTCTATCACTTAAGCCACATCTTCAAGCAGAACTATGAGAGTTTAATCCATTTGTGGACTTACAGAGCCCTTAGCCACATCATGGCATGCCACGTAGCATTGCTTCTGATGAAGAAGCTCACTTCCCTGTAAGTGAGGTGCAGTGGTAGTCCATGTTCACAACACACTAGTGTGTGGTGACATAGCTGGCTGACAGGATGTAAGCACAGACTCTGGCAGGCGCATTCCAGTGTAAGTGGTGATATTTTGAAGGACTATGCAGTGCTCCAAGACACTGGGCAAAAAGCTAGCCTCCAACATATGTGTCTATTTCTCCCACAGCCAGGATTCATGGATCTAGGAACTTATACTGCTATAACCTGTAATTAGTCAACAAAAACTACAGCCAAATTCATGCAGGATGGCTAGTGCCCTAGACCTTTTAGGATGGAAGGTCATCCCACCAGGCAAAGAACCATGAATAGTTGAGGTTCCTCCTAAGGGTCAAGGGCATATGGCAAGGGTCCTGGAAATACTGCTCTCCTCATACCACACTTGGCGGGCAGCCAGCACATTGCAGTCCCGAGGGGAGGTGCAGCCAAGGACGTGGGTCTCTCGGGCCAGCTGTGCTCCCACACATATTTCTACTCCTAGCCCAGGCACTTTGACTCCTAGGTCTCTTCAAAGGGGGCATAATTGAAGGAGGAAAGGAAAATCTTAATACTTTTACCTCACTCCCAGTTTACCCTCCCTCTAGGGTCCATACAGCAGCAGTCTCTTTTCCCAAGTTTCCTCCCAAGTTTGGACCCTTCCACCCCATGCACTAATCCACCAGATCCTCCTTCCAGGAGAAGAATGGAATAGGAAAGAATTGGCGCTTACCACAACTTAGCCTTTTTCAGAAAGTATGGAAGTAAGTGGTTGAAGGTTTACTGTTACTTTCATTTGGCGTTTTGCTTTAATCAGCTACTCTGACATTTGACAGCTCAGCCTTCTATCAACTGACCTCCAGACAGACATAAGCATTGACATGGTAATGTATTACTTCTCATTCTCAGGAGGCTGAGATCTGAGGATCACGGTTCAAAGGCAGCCTGGGTAGGAAAGTCCGTGAGATTCTTATCTCTAATAAACCACCAGAAAACTGGAAGTGGTACTCTGACTCAAGTGATAGAGTGCTGTCCCTACAGCATCCAGGCCAAGAGTTCAAGCCCCACAACCAACCAAAAACAAAAAACAATCAGCTAAAACTTACCAAAAGTAGAAACAAGACAGGAGATATCATTACAGAATATGCACATAGTAAAACAATAAGAATCACAATTTCATTGTAATAAAGTTGTCAAGTTAAATGGACAAATTCTTTGAAAGATAAAAACTACTATAGCTTACTTAAAAAAAAAAAAGGAAAATCTGGGCTGGGAAGGTGGTTCAGTGGTAGAGCGCTTGCCTTGCATGCATGAGGCCCTGGGTTTGATTCCTCAGTACCACATAAGCAGAAAAAGCCAGAAGTGATGCTGTGTATCAAGTGGTAGAGCGCTAGCCTTGAGCTGAAGAGCTGAGGGACAGCGCCCAGGCCCAGAGTTCAGGCTCCACTACCGACAAAAAAAAAAAAGGAAAACCTGAATAGCTCTGTATCTAGTAAGAAAACATAACTTATACATAACAGGTTTCCTAGCAAACAAACTTCCAACCCCATATTACTTTACTGGCTAATTCTATCATGTGTTTAGAAGAACTAATACCATTTCTACACAAAACCTTCCAAAAAAGAAGAGGGAACATTCCAAGAAGAGCAACTTGATAAACTAGACTTCAAAATTAGTAACTTTTGATGTTAAATAATGAAAACAAAAGCCATGAACTGGGAGAAAATGACTGAAAATAATATATTTGATTAAAGACACATCTGATATTTAAAGAACTCTGAAAAACTCAGGAATAAGAAAAATGCAAGCAAATAAAATGGGCAAATGTTTACCAAAGAAAATAAACACAAAGCAAGTAACAGGGAAAGACATGAGAAATGTCAAACTCCAGGTGAGGTGGCTGGAACCTAGAACTCTCTCTCTGCTGCTAGGAATAGAAACTGGTATAAACTTTTTGGGAAAACAGTTTGATGGCTCTTAAAAACAGAACACATATTTATCCTATGAGCAAGCCAATCCATTCTTTCAGTTTTCTTCCAATAGAAATGAAATATATGTCCACATAAAGAATTATAGACTGATGTTTATGGCAGCTTTAGAATAGCCTCAAATTGGGAAAAAATGAATATCCATCTTTTAGTAAACAGATTAACTATGGTATATTTTATAGAATAGAATAATTCTCAGCAGCAAGAAGAAATAAACTATTGATGTATGCAACAACAAGAATACATTTCAAAAGCATGATGCTAAGCTAAGTGAAAGAAAATACAAAAAGCTACACACTAGAAGTGTTCTTTTATTTCCCTTTTGGTTATACTGGGGTTTGAAATCAGCCTTTTACTAATTGAACCATGCTCCCAGCCCTTTTCTGCTACAGCCTTGGACTTGCAATACTCTGTGCTTCCAGTGAAGCGGGGACTCTAGAGGCTGTGATCACTATACTCAGCTTGTTTGCTGAGATGGGGGTCTTGTTAATTTTTTGCCTGTGTTGGTGTTGAATCACAAATCTCATTGCTACCTCCCAAGTAGCTGGGATAAGCATCGCCCATCAGTGTCAGCCTTTTTTATAAAGAGCATATTTGGCACGCTAGGTTGTGAACTCAGGCCCTTGCACTTGCCCAACAAGCACTCTAACACTTGAGTCATGTCTCCAGGTCTGAATGCTATTTTTTGTGGTTACTGGTAATTTTTAATATAGCCACACATATTTGTTAAAATTCAAATTACACATAGAAACTGGTAAGTTATTATGTAATGCGCTCTCTCTCTCTCTCTCTCTCTATATATATATAGTGTGTGTGTGTGTGTGTGTGTGTGTGTGTGTATGTGCGCGTGCGCGCGCACGCCACTCCTGGGACTTGAACCCAAAGCTAGTATTCTACCACTTGAGCCACAGTTCCACTTCTGATTTTTTTTTTTTAATTAGTAAGTTTTTTTTAATTGTGAAAATACCATACAGAGGGGTTATAATTATATGAGCAAGGAAATGAGTACATTTCTTATCAAGCATTGTAGCCTCCTCCTTTGTTTCCCTTTACCATCCCTGCCCTCCCATTCCCCCGTCCCCCCACCCCTCCCCACACCCCGCCCCAAAGTTGTAAAGTTCGTTTTTCGACATAATGTCTTGTACATCTCTCTGAGTTTTTGGGTTTTTTTTTTGCTTTTGCTTTTCTTTTTTGATTACAGATGTGAGCTACTGGCACCTGACTTATGATATAGGTAATGTATGAATAAAAGATAATAATTAGATTGAATGTATTCATGATGTCCAGATTATAAATAAAAATAGAAATAGGATGATGTTGATAATCATTTAGATGATAATAATTTCATAGAAAATGTCACTATCAGAATTGTGACTCATTTCTTAGCAGTTTCAAGTTTCACTCTAACCAATATTCAAAAGATAAACTCTTTAAGAAAATAAGTAACATCACAAGGCTCAACTACAAAATTGCTAACACTTACCCAGGGGCTCTACCAATTGGTCAACCAGTCCCATTTTCTTTGCTCTATCTGCACGAATGTTTCTGCCAGTCAGCATCATGTCAAAAGCAGCAGGTACTCCCACCTAATATGTAAGGAGGGTTAAGAATATGGGAGAACAGTAAGGATCACAATTAGAGTTTAGATACCCAGATTGAATTTAAAAGAAGAGATAAAGACATTTTTGTTTCAATCTACCTGAATTATTATAGTAGAATTTCTATCTTATAGAATTAATAAGGTAGGAATCAATCTCAAGTTAAATAAAATTGCACACTGTGTCATGCTAAATTTGTTCTCTAGGGCTGGGAAGGTGGCTCAGTGGTAGAGCGCTTGCCTTGCATGCCTGAGGCCCTGGGTTCGATTCCCCAGCACCACATAAGCAAAAAGGAAAAAAGCCAGAAGTGGCGCTGTGGCTCAAGTGGTAGAGCGCTAGCCTTGAGATGAAGAGCTGAGGGATAGCGCCCAGACCCAGAGTTCAGGCCCATGACCGGACCCCCCAAAAAACAAAAAACAAACATATAAATTTGTTCTCTATTGTTTATAAAATATTTAAAATGTCTGGTTTGGAACTACCGTGGAGACTAAGCATCTTGACAGATTTGTTTTGTTTCTGTTTTTTCCAGTCCTGGGCTTGAACTCAAGGCCTAGGTACTGTCCCTAAACTTCTTTTGCTCAAGGCTAGCACTCTACCACTTGAACCACAGTGCCACTTCCAGCTTTTTCTGTGTATTTGATACTGAGGAATTGAACCCATGTATGTCAGGCAAGCACTCTACCACTAAGCCACATTCCCAGCCCATCTTGACAGCTTTGACAGTCTTTAGAAGTTTAAGCTTAACAAAAACGGAACTGTTTATGTAGTATTACTAGAAAAATAACTTCTAGCAATACAGAATGACTAATGATAGCTAAAAAATAAAGAAGAAACTTTTCAACACACATATATGCTGATTGTTCCTGAAAGAAATCCTTTTGTCATTTGTATGAAGAAGTATTTATTATTAAGGGACTAACACAATAAATCTTCCTTTGTGTATGTTTGTATGTGTGTGTATATACATATGTATGTATATATATACACACTCATCACCTTCCTGCAAAACATTGCTTCTGAGCCTTGATTTCGCTGAGGAATCTATAGTGCCAGGGGCTATAAGAGTTATTAAAATGTGATCCTAATGTTTGGTGTTAAGATCACCCTGCAGTTTCCAGGTCTGATTCTCCTTTTACCCTTATGGATTTGAAAGCAGGGTGGGCTTCTTTGATTCTGTAGAATACAAGGAGGTGTTCCAAAGTAGACAATGAAGGAGGAGGCCTGCCTTTTATTTAAGATAAACTGTAACCCGTGGTTTTGAGCTTTAAGATGGCACAGTAAAGAAAATAAACAAACTAAAAGCTCTAGAAAAGTGGGACATATGTATTATTATACTTCTTCAGAGACTAAAAAGGGACTCTGATCAAGAATTTTGTGAAACTGAAAAATATTTAAATATCAGAAATAAGGCGTACTTGATCGTACATGCTCACAATGGATGTTTTTATTATGTGATTTGTACAAGATGAAACACATCTAAAAAGACATTGTTCACAGGGTTGGGGTAAACTTAACTCACCATTTTGGGGAGCCTTTGAGTTCCTCCTGCTCCTGGTAAGATGCCCAACAAGACTTCAGGAACACCTAATACTGTTTTTCTGTCTTTTATTGCTACTCTGTACTGGCATGCAATGGCAAGCTTCAAACAAATGAAAGAGAATTAGAATGTTAGAAAATGTAACTTCAAGCCAGGCATCAGTGGCTCATGCTTATAATTCTAGCTATTCAAGAGACTGAGATCTGAAGATCGAGGTTGGAAGTCAGCTTGGGCAGGAAAGCCCAATCTTCAATTAACCCCTAAAAAGCCAGAAGTAGAGCTGTGGTTCAAAGCTGTAGAGTGCTAGCCTTGAGCAAAAAAGTTCAGGGACCATACCCAGGCCCTGAGTTCAAGACCCAGGACTGGCACAAAAGAAAAAAAAGTGACTTCATCATATCTTAGGATCTGTGAGAATATAAAAAGATTATTTAAAAAGCAGGAAAGTACCCAAAATATACACTGAAATTCTTTAGACTGGCACTTGATTTTTTTTTTATATTTTACATTTTCAAACCCTTTTTAAATTTCCCCTTCATCTATTAACATTTTTGGGGTGCAAGTATCCTTAAAATGTTGTATAGAAACTTTTAATAAAGAAGGAAAGGCGGGTGTTGGACCACTCCTATAATCTTAGCTGTAGTCCTAGTAGAAGGCCAAGACAGGAGAATGGCATGAACCTTTGAATTCAAGTACATTTGGAGAAATATACCAATACCCTCATCTCAAAAATGAAAATATAACAAAACCACCACAAATTTTAAGATAGGCACAGTGGTGCATGCCTGTATTCCCAACTACTTGGAAGGCTGAAGTGGGAGGATTGCAAATTAAAGCCTAGGCTGGGCAACATAGCAAGACCTTATTTCAGAAAAAAAAAAAAAACCCACCTCCCCCATATACTTATGGACCCCAGGTTAAAAAAGTTTTGTAACCTCTAGTGACAATCCTTTTTTTTTTTTTTTTTTGTTGGCCATAGGGCTTGAACTTGGGGTCTGGGTGCTGGCCCTCAGCTCTTTTTGCTTAAGATTAGCACTCTACTACTTTGAGCCACAGTGCCATTTCTGGTGTTCTGGTGGTTAACTGAAGATAAAAGTCTCACAGATTTTCCTACTGGGGCTGGCTTCTAACTGTGATCTTCAGATCTGATCTGATCCTCCTGAGTAACAAGGCTTACAGAAGAAACAGTTTAAATACATATATTATACTCTGAGCTCCAACCAGAAGTAAGACATGACCTGGACCACATTTCTCAATCATTTAGAACTGAAATGATCTTACAGATTCAGTTCAAAGTTTAATTTTATAACTAAAAGAGTTGTACGTTGGTTTATTTGCTCTGTGCCACACAAAGTAAGGATAAAAGTCTGACAGTTAAAAGGAAAACTTAAGTACTGTGGAAGACATCTGTACCTCAAGTCCTCCTCCTAAGCAGGATCCACTGATGGCAGCCACGATAGGTTTTGAGGACTTTTCAAGTCTCTCAAACATTCTCTGTCCCTCCTGTGATATCCGTGTTGCTTCCTGAGGGGTCTTACAAGAGGCTAACATGCTATGGTAGCCAAAAAGCAGAAAAGGATAGATGAAAACATAGTATACTTCATTTATTACTTTACTATACTCTTATCCATCATATAACAATATTTGAGAATAAGTCTTCAAATATAAGACAAAACATGCTATATAATTTATTTTTATTCTATAACAAGTTAGACCACAAAATTCTATACATAATATTTGCTATATATAATCATTAGTAGATAGCTGTCAGAGTTAACAGTAATCAAAGTTACAGGGGAAAAAATACTCAATTTGATCAAAAGGGTTTAAAACTTTTAAATAAGCTAGGCCCTGGTGGTTCATGCCTATAATACTAGCTACTAAGGAGGCTGAGACCTAAGGATGGTGATTCAAAGCTACCCTGGGGAGGAAAGTCCTTGAGACTCTAATCTCCAACTAAGCACTAAAAAAAAAAGGGGGGGGGGTAGGGGAGTGGAGCTGTGGCTGAAGTAGTAGAGTGCTAGCCTTGAGCAGAAAAAACTCAGGGACAGCACCCAGGCCCTGAGTTCAAGTTCTAGGACTGGCACAAACATTAAATCAATCAATCAATCCTTTAATTAAAAAGATCTCCTGAGCCAGGGCGCTGGTGGCTCACGCCTGTAATCCTAGCTACTCAGGAGGCTGAGATCTGAGGATCACGGTTCAAAGCCAGCCCGGGCAGGAGAGACCGTGAGACTCCTATCTCCAATAAACCACCAGAAAAACGGAAGTGGCGCTGTAGCTCAAGTGGTAGAGTGCTAGCCTTGAGCTGAAGAGCTGACAGCGTCTAAGCCCAGAGTTCAGGCCCCACGACCTTCCAAAAAAACAAGAACAAAAACAAAAACAAAAAAAGAGGGTTGGGAAGGTGGCTCAGTGGTAGAGCACTTGCCTTGCATGCTTGAGGCCCTAGGTTCGATTCCTCAGCACCACATAAGAAAAAAGCCGGAAGTGGCTTTGTGGCTCAAGTGGTAGAGTGCTAGCCTTGAGCTGAAGAGCTGAGGGACAGCGCCCAGGCCCAGAGTTCAAGCCCCACGACTGACAAAAAAAAAAAAGATCTCCTGATGATTTAGAAAAATTCTGGGGCTGGGAATGTGGCTTAGTGGTAGAGTGCTTGCCTAGCATGCACAAAACCCTGGGTTCGATTCCTCAGTACCACATAAACAGAAAAAGCCTGAAGTGGTGCTGTGACTCAAGTGGTAGAGTGCTCACCTTGAGCTGAAGAGCTGTGGGACAGCACCCTGGCCCAGAGTTCAAGCCCCATAACTGACCAAAACAAAAAGAAAAAGAAAAAATTCTGATACAATATTGTACTCGATATCCTTTAATTTCAGTGTTTGATTTGCTACTTTGTTTCTGAGCACATTCATGATGAGGATTTTGTACTTGGACTATATCACTGGTAATTACTATCTGACCTTCTGGAAGCTGCAAACATTTTCCTATGTTGGGAGCAGTTTCACACTAGGCCCAACTAAATGAGCAAGAAGAAAAAACACTTGATGTAAATTTTGTTTCTTCTAAACAAAGTATTGAGAAGCACATTTATAAATTCTAATTACTATACATAAATAAAAAGGATGCATAATGTGGAATGAAGGTTAAAAGTATACCAACAGCTGAGTGCTGGTGGCTCATGGCTATAATCCTAACTACTCGGAGGCTGCAGTTTGAAGCCATTGGGGCAGGAAAGGGGGAAGGAGGAGGAAGAGGAGGGGGACGGGAAGGAGGAAGGAGAGGAGAGGAGGGAAAGGGGGAGGAGGAAGAAGGGAGAGGGAGGAAGAAAAAGAAAAGAAGAGCCGGGCAAGATGGCTCATGCCTGTAATCCTAGCTACTCAGGAGGCTGAGATCTGAGGATCACGGTTCAAAGCCAGCCCGGGCAGGAAAGTCCATGAGACTCCTATCTCCAATAAACTACTAGGAAACCGGAAGTGGCGCTGTGGCTCAAGCGGTAGAGTGCTCGCCTTGAGCTGAAGAGCGCAGGGACAGTGCCCAAGTCCAGAGTTCAAGCCCTACAATTAACCAAAAAAAGAAAAGGAGAAGAAGGAGGAGGGAGGAAGGAAGAAGGAGGAAAGAAGAGGAGGAGGAGAAGGAAGGAAGAAAGAAGAAGAAGCCTAAAAACAACAACAAAAAAGAAGCCTAGCTATTTACTGCTGACTCAAGCTGTATAATCCTAGCTACTCAGGAGACTGAGATCTGAGGATTGTGGTTCAAAGCAAGCTGGAGCTGGAAAGGCTCAGAGACTCTTTATATCCAATGAACCAACAAAAAGCTGGAAGCAGGGAATGTGGCTTAGTGGTAGAGTGCTTGTCTAGCATGCATGAAGCCCTGGGTTTGATTCCTCAGTACCACATACATAGAAAAGGCTGGAAGAGGTGCTGTGGCTTGAGTGGTAGAATGCTAGCCTTGACCAAAAGCATCTAAGGGACAATGCCCAGGCTCTGACTTCAAGCCCCAGGACTGGAAAAAAAAAAAAAGCCTGGCACTCAAGTCTTGCTTTTTCAAGCTCAAGTGCAAGCACACACACAAAAAAAGGGAAAGCCAGGCACTAGTGGCTCACACCTGTAATTCTAATTACTCAGGAGGTTGTGATCTGAGGATCGTGGTTTAAATCCAGCCTGGGCAGGAAAGGCCTTGAAACTCTTATTTCCACTAAACCACCAGAAGACCAGAAGTGGCACTGTTGCACAAGTGGTAGAGCGCTAGCCTTGAGCTGAAGAGCTCAAGGACAGCACCCAGGCCCAGAGTTTAAGCCCTATGACCACCACCACCACCAACAACAAAGAAAGAAAGAGAAAAAGAAAGAAAGAAAGAAGGAAGGAAGGAAGGAAGGAAGGAAGGAAAGAAAGAAAGAAAGAAAGAAAGAAAGAAAGAAAGAAAGAAAGAAAGAAAGGGAAGGAAGGAACACACACACACACACACACAAACACACATACACACAAGGGTGAGATTAATTAGACTATATTATTAACATGTGTGAAAATGTAACAATGAAGCCTCCTCTCCTGTATAACTAATGCAAACTAATAAAAAAGTAATACAATGACTTTATGTACAGTATAAATATAGCCATTTATATAAACTGTATGAATTATTTTTCTAGGGCTTGAATTCAGGGCCTGGGTATAGTCCTTGAGTTTTTTTTTGTTGTTGTTCAAAGCTAGCACTCTAGCACTTGAGCCACATGCTATTTCTGGCATTTTTGGTAACTATCTGGAGATAAGAGTCTGACAGACTTTTCTACCCAGGCTAGCTTTCAACTATGATCCTCAGATTTTGGCCTCCTGAGTAGCTAGGATTACAGGGTTGAGCCACTGGTGTTCAGCTTATAATATGAAATAATACATAAACTTTTTTTTTTAAAGTTAACATGTTGTGAATCTGTTTTGTATTATTACCTATCCATTACCCTCCTGACATTAAGCTTATTTCAAATTCTTCATAATTTTATTTCTTTATTTATTTTTATTTATTTTCTTGTCGGTTGTGGGGGATGAACTCTGGGCCTGGGCGCTGTCCCTCAGCTCTTCAGCTCAAGGCTAGCTCTGTACCACTTGAGCCACAGAGCCACTTACGGCTTTTTCTGCTTATGTGGTGCTAAGGAATCAAACCCAGGGCCTCATGCATATGAGGCAAGCACTTTACCACTGAGCCACTTTCCCAGCCCTCTTCATAATTTTAAACTACATGGTACTGAACATGCTTGCCCACTGGTCCTTGTGAGCAAATGCTGAGGACTTCTTTAGAATATGTGCTTAGAATATATGGTGGGATCATATGTGTTATTTTCAATTTTGCTAAGTGCTGCCAAATTGTTCTCTAAAGTGACTACACGAATTGTCATTCCCAGAAGTACATTAACTTTCTCATTTCCCAATTAGTTGCTACCACGTACTTCCAAACTTTCAAGTGTTCGCTGGTTTTATGAGTTTAAAAAACAACAGGCATTTCATCGCTGGTTAAATTTATAGTTTTTTTAAAAAATTCTTTTTAACAATTGCTTTTCATTTCCTTAAGGAAAGTGTATAGTTACCATGATCCTTATTTCATCAGCTTTATATTATATACAAAAATAACTTTTAAAAAAACTTTAAAATTTTTTATTTTTCTATCTCTGCCTTTTGATTTTGATCCTGCAAATCATGTCACCTGAAGAAGTGGTAAGGTGCAGAACACAGAAAAGAGGTAAGGGCAGGATATAGAAAGAAAGACTGAAATAATTGAAGGATGTAAGTAAACATCTTGAATTACCTGAATCTGAAAGCCAATCGCACTCACTTACAAAAGGACATCATATAATGATTTAGAATCAAGAATCCCAGGAAGCAACAGTAATATCATGTCCTAAAAACAGAAAACTAACATTTTTGTCATTGTGTTTTTTAGTTTATCCTTGTTGTCTAATTTTACTTATGTTTTCATTCTACCTGTTTTAAAAAGACTAATGGTTAGGCCTAAGAAACACATTCTCAGTCAAGGTAATAGGTTGCCTTAAGATTACTAAAACTTACTTAATGTCAGCACCTGCAACAAAGCAGCCTGGCTTTGATGACATGAGGACAGCACTTCTGATTTGGTCATTACTCCAGATCTCATTCATTACTTCTTGGAATTCTGATTGTACTTCTTCGTTCAATGTATTTACCTGCAGGGGGGAAAGAGGTAAATCTAGGATTGAAAGTGAACTCAAATGAACATTATCAACATCAAATGTGATTTTGATTATAGAAATATTGTTTACTAGCAGACATATACTGTTAGAAGAAATAAAAAACAAGAAAAAACGAACAAAAAAAATTCCCCAAATCTAGTGGCTTTCTGTTCAGGTAGCTTTGGCCAACTACTAGTGTCTTCCCTTAAAAAAATAGGCTTGGTAACACACACCTGTAATCCTAAGTATTTGGGATGTGAAGGCAAGAGGACAGCAAATTCAAGTCCAGGTTGGACTACGCAGTAAGACTATATCTCAAAAACAACCAAACCCCAAAGTATCTACTCAAAAGAGAAATTCAGTTCACATTCCTAAGAGTGTGCATCATACATAAGTAAGTCTATAATCACTAAGTGACATGGGGGAAAAAATGAAGTTAGGCGCTTGTGGCTTGAGCCTGTAATCCTAACTACTCAGGAGGCTGAGATCTGAGGATAGTGGTTCAAAGCCAGACCATGAAGGAAATGTCATGAGACTCTCATCTCCAATTAACTACCAGAAAATTGGAAGTGGAGCTGTGGCTCAAAGTGGTAGAGTGCTAGCCTTGAGCAAAAGAGCTCAAGGATAGCACCCAGGCCCTTAATTCAAGCCCTCTGTGACTGAAAAAAAAAAAGGGTGGGGGGGAAGAAATTAAAATTAGATACCCAGTCTGATTTCACTTGAATAATTGAAACTGGTTATCTTTGTGTTTGGGCTAGGTATGATGATTATTTTCTTCATTATAGCTTCTTGTGGTATTAAAACTTCCTGCCATTGGCATGCATTATTTTTACTTGAGGTTTTTTTTTGTGTGTGTATGTGTGAAAAAGCATATTAACTTGAATCATTGGTTAATGGATGCTAAAATGTAGTCTGGGGGTAGGAATAAGTTTTCTTGTCATTAAGCTGTGATTAGTTGTCAACTGTTTTCATCTAGGTACTGCTATGTCATCTTAGGCCTCTCATTACAAATTTTCTTAAGTATGAAACCTAACCTAATTTGAGATAAGGGAAAACAGGGGATGCTGCTATGTTGAAGTTGCCAAAAACAGTGAAGTTCCACTTTGAGAAGAACTTGATTTCCAATATGTGAATTGCATCAAGGGATAATTCAGATCTTTCAGGAAGCTTGCAAATGTCTACATGCAACCCAGCCAACTTACTGTGAATACTGACTCATGTCAGGCAGGTAATCAAGAAAGCGGATTTATTAACCTCATATTTTAGATGTCCAGATAAGTCTCAATTCTTAACAAATCAAGCTTATACTTTAATTTTTATCTAATAAATCACCTCCTCATTCTACATTGTAACAAGATAGTCTTAATTTGTGATATTAATCTGACAGTCAATACAAAGGAATTCTTACACAATTCTTACTTTGCTTCAGAAAAATGCTTTCACTGGGCAATCTGTCAAACTTTTACTACTCTATCTAAATTATAAATTCATGGATTACTGCCACATTGATGGATTTCTTTCTCATTTAGGACTGGAGTCATAAACATAGAAGAAAAAACTGCACAAACTTAAATTTGGTACCTTTGAATTGGGTGAGTTAATTCGAATAACTGCCACATCCCCTTTGATTCCATAGTTAACATGGGTTCTGGCTAAAAAGGAAGGAAAATTTATTTATAAAAATGTTTATTATAAAACAAATCTAAGAAGCAATGTAAGAATGTCAACAAGAAATAAAACTTACTCAGCAAAGCAGAAGACGCTGTAAAGTTGCGACAAATGCAACCTATAAGAAAAAAGTATTTCAAAATTAATTGTTTTGCAAAACAGAATTTATGTAGTATCTATTAGACATAGCAAAGCTGGAATTAGTAGCAAAAGTTGCCAAATGAAAACAATGTGCTTTAGAACATTATTGTCACTATTCCTACATAATTCCCATTTTAAGATCAGTGTACATGACTATTCAGATACTAAATAAAGTAGGTAGAGGAATGGCCCCCAAAAGATTGGCATCCCCAGGATCTGTGAATTTGGTAGGCCACAGGGCAAAAGACTAATGTTGCAAATGGAATTAAGGCTGCCAGTCAGTTGACCTTATTAGAGGAAGAGTATTATGGATTATCCAAGTGGGCTTAGTGTAATAACAAGAGAGAGGCAAAGGGAATCAGAGAGATGGCAGTGTGAGAACTGGCCCAAGCTGCTGAAGACAGATGTAAAAGGGCAACAAGTCAAGAAGATGGGCAGACTCCATAAGCTAGAAAAGAGAATGCATTTTTCTTAGACATCTAAAATGAACACAGCTGCCTACACCTCTAATGTTAGCTACTGAGACAAAATATATTTTGGATTTCCAGCTTCTGTCACAACAAGGTAAGTATCTGTTTCAAGCCCTAACTTGATAGTAATTTGTTACAGTAGCAATAGGAAACAAATATTCTCAGTAATAAATAACAACAAAGCAATCCATAATATGTCCCCAATATGTTTTCCAGACACATCCTCTATCTTTTTCTGGAAGAATGGACTAATGGATTTATCAAAAATAAAATCAAGGGACAACAGTGGCTACTATAAATAAAACATATAATACTTTTCTACTTTAATTATTTCTAACTAAAAACCTCTATCCTGCACCATCAAAGATATTTCTATTCCCTGGATGATAAAGCCTTTCTCCTTTCTCCTAGTCACTTTACTAGTTTACTCCAGCATAATACTATAAAGAGCAGCAGAGGGCTGGGGACATAGCAGAGACAAACTGCCTGCCTAGCATGCCTGAGGTTCTTGCTTTGAAAAGCCTAAAGACCAACTTGATAGGACCACAACTACTCGTGTCCCTGGTGAGCATTCCAACCCACTAAGGTTGAAAGACAGCCAGGCAGACAAATCTGAGAGACTTTTTTGTTGTTATTGTTGTTGGTCATGGGGCTTGAACTTGGCCTAGGCACTGTCTCTGAGCTCTTCAGCTCAAGGCAAGCGCTCTACCACTTGAGCCACAGCACCATTTCTGGTTTTTTGGTGGTTAATTGGAGATAAGAGTCTCATTCACGGACTTTCCTGCCTAGGCTGGCTTAAAACTGTGATCCCGGGGCTGGGAAGGTAGCTCAGTGGTAGAGCACTTGCCTTGCATGCATGAGGCCCTGGGTTCGATCCCTCAGCACCACATAAGCAAAAAGAAAAAAAGCCAGAAGTGGCACTGTGGCTCAAGTTGTAAAGCGCTAACTTTGAGCTGAAGAGCTGAGGGACAGCGGCCAGGCCCAGAGTTCAGGCCCCACGACCAGACCCAAAAAACAAAAACAAAACAAAACAACAACAACAAAAAACTGTGATCCCAGATCTCAGCTTCCAAAGTAGCTAGGATTTCAGGCATGAGCCACTAGTGCCCAGCTTGAGAGACTCTCCACTTAGCCAACAAAAAACTCAAGTGGTAGAGTGCCAATCCAAGTAAAAGCTAGGAAACTGTATGCAGGCCTGAGTTTGAACCCTAATACCAACACACACACACACACACACACACACACACACACACACACACACACACACACACACACACACACACACACACACACACACACACACACACACACACACACACACACACACACACACACACACACACACACACACACACACACAGAATTTATAAAGTGGAAAGGAAATGACGAGGTATGAATTTTTTTGAATGTATGTATACAATGGTGTCAGGGGTTAGATAGGGTACTGTCCTTGATCTTTTGTGCTCAATGCTAGTATTCTACCACTTGAGTCACAGCTCACGTCTGGCTTTTTAGTGATTAATTGGAGTTCAAAGTCTCATGGACTTTCCTGGTTGGGCTGGCTTTGAACATCAGTCCTCAGATCTTAGCCTTCTGAGTGACTAGGATTACAGATGTGAGCCACTGACATTCAATAGGGGCATATAATTTTAACTGGATCTGGGTAAAGTATATTAGAGTGGGAATAGATAAAGTGAAAATGAAGGTTAGGAAGAATGATGTAGACAGATAGGAAACACAAATATGTTAATAGGAATGTTAAATGCTTAAAGAAAAAAGAAAGAAGAGCAAATAAGGGTTGCAATTTTATTTTGTTGTGAGACAGTCTCTTTATGTAGCTAAGGCTGTGCCTTGAACTTGTAATTCTCCAACCTTAGCCTCTGAGTTTGGGAGCCTCAGTTGGGATTAACTTACCAGGTACTACAACCACAAGCATGTACCACCATGCCTGGCTGGGTTACAATTTTTAAATATTAAGTATTTGATATTCAAAGATTAATGCTCATTAGTCTATACTCATTTTAGCATTGTAGTCAGTTTAACTCTTGCTATTAGCCAATCTTTGCTGTAAATACACCCACACATGCATACACAAAGCCTCTTCTCAATCAATAGAGATGGAACAAGAGAAAAATCAGTAATTGTACAAACATAAAATAACTCCAAACCACAGTCAACTAAGTCAAGTCAGTCAAAGTACAAGGTAACTTTGCTTTTGGAATCCAGCTTTACCAGAAAGTTTATACTCCAGTGGCAGCGTGAACTTTAGCCTACATATACTGTGCCAGCAAGAGAAACCTTTGTCCTACTTTCTAATCATCTTCCTATGCAGTTCAAGAGAATACCTGTAAAACTACAGTCAGCACAAAGAGCTGGGTTATGTCAACACACATTTCAAATTTGAAAATGTTACTTTGATTGTACCAATAAAAAACTTTTCTCAAAAGAGAACCTAGGAAAAGGGATGGGATTAAGGAAGTAAAGAGTCAAATTTTAAAATACTACATGGCCACTAAATATTTGCCTTGAATTCATTTACTGAGAAGTTACTGCACCACTTACAAAATTAGGAAATTATATGTAGGAGAAGTGGGAATAACGAGATACCATGATCAAGATGTGATATTTACTTATTTGGCAGTAGTAGGGAATAATCTGGAACTTGTTAGATAGGCACATTATACCATGTGATTTAATTTTTTTTTCATTATTAGCTGGGTACTGGTGGGTCACACCTGTAATCCTAGCTAAGATCTGAGGATCGTGGTTCAAAGCCAGTCTGGGCAGGAAAGCTACATACTACACACTATTCTAGAGTGCAGCCCAGCAGTTTGACTCTCCTAAATAAACTCTTTTCTGCCAGAACCATGTTGTGGTCTCCTTTTGGCAATGCTTACATCTGTAACCAGGCCGAGTTAAGGCCTCACAGACAACCAAAATAAATAAATAAATTTCCATTATTATATTCATAATTATAGTACCTGCAGAGTAGGTAAGTGCTTACATGTCAATTTTAAGAAAATATAGTAATTTCTCAGTAACTGTTTTGGTTTCATTTGGCAATGCTTTGGCACAGACTTTCTGTGTAAAAATGCCATCTCTCAAGTCAAAATGGTAATCTAGGTATGAAGACAATTTTTTTTTTTTTTTGGGGGGGGGTCTGGTCGTGCGGCCTGAACTCTGGGCCTGGGCACTGTCCCTCAGCTCTTCAGCTCAAGGCTAGCACTCTACCACTTGAGCCACAGCACCACTTCCCGCTTTTTTCTCTTTGCTTATGTGGTGCTGAGGAATCGAACCCAGGGCCTCATGCATACAAGGCAAGCGCTCTACCACTGTGCCACCTTCCTAGCCCTGAGTGAAGACAATTTTATAACCACTTTTATGTATGTCTTTTTCAAAATTTATATATTTCTATTAAAATAAGCAGTGTCAATAATGATATATTCTCATTAGTGAAAAAATAATGCAAATTGTAAAATTTATGTGACCAATCTCAATAAATTATTTAAAAATAATGCAAAATATATAGCATACATATTGTGTCATATATACATATATAGTCATATACATTCTATACAGAAATATAAAAAATAAGCTGCTGGCTTTTTACTACAAATATAAACTGGTTAAATTACAAAATTCTCAATTATATAAGATCATTGTTCTTCAGGCCCAAGAAGAGTTAATATTGATGATATTTCTGGAGCATGTATGCCACTACTTTTATACAAAACATACTCTCTTTATACCTCACAAATAACATTCCCTATTTACAAATGAGAAAATACATTTGAAATAAACTGCCCAAGGTCACTGGAAGGTAAAAGACAGGGACTGCTTTAAACCCAGAATTAAGTCTCCACATTTAATTGCTCTGCCACGCTATACCTCATGATGAACATCGTCCAGTCTCATTCATTATACAGATGAGGAAACGCAGCCCATTTAGATTTAGATATTTATCCCAAGTCACACAGACAGTTAGTGACTAGGATACATGTGACCTGACTATCACTTCAGTGTTACACCAGTTTACCAAAAATGCCTTATTACCAACAGCAGGGGCAAACTCAAAAACATACACGAGTTATCAAAAGTATTAAATAACAAATGTGGAAAATATGAAAAAATATAAACAGTAAGAAAACAACCAAATGCTAAGGGAAGGCATATAAAGGTAGTGAAAAATGATTCCTTTTTCATAATCTACATACAAATCTTTGGGGAGGAGGGAGCTGTGTCAAATACAATTTTATTTTTAAATGAATGTTAAAATTAAGGTCTAGAGTTGTTTGAATGATAAAACAATCAAAGTTCCTCAAAAACGGTTAAAAATCATTTAAGTTGAAGGAAAGAGCAAGTATCTTTGTTTCCAAAGCTGCCTTAGGTTTCAGGGAAGTACAAGTACACTTGGAAGAAATATACTAATAATTTATTGCTAAATAGGCAGTAGGTATCTTTGCTTAGGTGATGCTGGAGACTGAACCAAGGGCCTTGGGCATGTGAGGCAAGTGCTCTACCACTAAGACACATTGCAGCCAGTAGATTTCTTCCCTTTCCCCAACCCTCTAAAGGATTTCACTTTTCTGTGATGTACTTATATTACAACGGGTACATATAAGAATTCTGTGATTTAAAAGTGCTTAAAAAAGAAAGCATAAAATCTAATCAATCATTGAATTAATTTCTTAAAGTTAATACTCCAACTACTAGTCTTAAAACAAATTCTAAGCCACTTTTTTTTTTTCAGGAGGAGGAGGAAGAGAGAATTCATTTTACAAATGCAAGTTCCTAATTAAGTAATTGATATTAAACACATCATGTAATAACGTCACATTTGACCTTACAGATTTGGGATGGGGGGGGGGGTGGACGCTGTTTTCCACACCCATCACCAACCTCTTTTACCCATGGACTGCCGATTTGCAGAGGTAAAGGACAATATAACTAACACAGGCTGACTGGGAATTTAGACACCGTGCTTAAGAACCAACATTTTATTCCTTAAGATACAGGGTTTTGCGTATTTTTAAAGTCCCTTCCAGGAAGTTGGGGGACCTCTCATTTCAATATTTTAAACATGATCATTTGCACTGCCAAGCTGAGCTCCCTCTGAAGTACAAAAATGGCTTTGCCAGGACAAACAGGGAGTGGCAGGGCTCTACTAGGCTGGTGAATGTCACCTAAGGAGCTTCTAGGAAAGCTGTGGTTGCTAGCAAGGAGCTAAGAAGTCCCAAAGATGAGACAGACTTAGTCGGGGTCCTCTGGCTCTAGCAAGGGTCAGGCCCATGGCCACCGTTAAAGAAGATAAGGAACAGGAAGGCAGAAGAGCCACGACAGGGGACTCTCCCAAAGCGAAGGACTCAAACGTTAGGGGCTACGGCGCTTGAAATCGCCGCAGGACTCGGAATAGCGCGCGCGGGAGTGACAGTCCCTTAGCAAGGTCACAGGAAAAACGGGGTCCCAGGATGGTATCTCCCCCACATAAGGGTCCCTGGACCCGGGTGCGTCAGGCCGCACTGAGGGACCGACGCAGCTTCTGGCCGTTTCAGCTCTGCGTGGTCCGACAGAGACATCAGGTCCCTTCGAACCAGGCTCACCTCGGGAGCGGAGGATCCTGAAGGCAGTGAAGCGGCTGAGGCTGCCAATGGCCCGGGAAGCAACCATCTTGCAGGAGAGGACGAAAGCAGAGAGCGCTTCTAGTCGCCGCGACCGCGGAGAGGACTTTTCTTTTCCCAGACTGGCAGGCCAGGCGCCCAACTCACTGCCTGACTAAAACCCAGCCGTTGAATTGTCTCCGGCCCTTTTATCCTTGCTCGTCGCTCCTATCTACAGAAATCAAAAGGAGGCTTTCTCCGCTGGGGGACCGAGGCCCGTCGAGGAGCGGGGAGGAGAGCCTCATTTTCTAGTCAGGCGGACGACGGACAGCCCGTGGGGCCGCCAGCGCCTGTGGGCGGGACCGAAGGGGGGGGTCCTTTCTGGACAGGCCCCGCCCCTTGCCGGGAGCGTCTTTCACTCGGGACCGGACCAGGCTCAGAGCAGGTTGTTCGCGGACGCCACGTTAGGTGAGAGGGCGGGTGCGGTGGGGTTTTCACCAGGCCTTTCCCGCAGGAGATCCCCGCTTCCTTCCCGAGTCGCGGCTCTGGTGCCGGCGGCCGCTTCCGTTCCCTGGGAGAGTCGCAGTCTGGGGACGGGAAGGACTCCCCTGACGAGGCCTAGCAGTTGCAGCTGTAGCCCGGAGCCGCGGCGTTATCGCCTCGGGTGGGCGTGTGTGTTTGAAGCCCTGGGCTGTGTTAGGGGTGTTTGTTGTTTCACCTGCTTTACCTGCAGCCAAGTCTTGCGCTGTCGACATTGAGAGCGCCACAAGTCTACCCTGATTTCGGCTGTTAAGGATGGGACTCGGGCGTGGAAGAGCTGAGACGGTTCTTGCTCACGGGCATTTTCTGACCTAGATGAGACCCACTGGTCGATCACTTCCCTTTATCGATGAAGAAAAAGACGAGCCGGTGAACGAGTGCGTTTACTAGTGGGCCATATTTGGTAAATGAAAACCTAAGTTTACGTCTGACTCAGAGCTGTGCATTGCATGATAGTTGTCTTTGTGCTGGAAAGATGGACCCCAGAATAAAGTGGTTTCGGAAGAAAGTAATGTTGAGGGATGATCGTTTCTTGGGCACCTTCACATTGTTTTATAACTTTTCTTGTCTATGGCATAGCAAGGATTCATATATAAATCTGAATCTCAGTACACATCAGGTTTACTACCTGCAAGAGAAACTAACACACACACACACACACACACACACACGCACGAATGACAGGCAGTTAGACAAGTGGGAAATATGGAAAGAGTTGATGAGCGCTTTCTGTTTTAGAACTCAAGTCTAATAGTGAGTGAGTCCTACATTGGCCAAGAATACTTGAAGCAAAACTTCGATAACCATTTCTGAATAAATTGCAAAAAATAATCTTGACCTTGTAAGATAGTTTACAGTTCAAAGCTCGTTTTCTGCCTATATAATGCTTTCTTGTGCACTTGATTGTGCCCTGTCCTTATTTAGATCAGGGGTGGCAAACTTTTTTTCTGTAGTTTCACCTTTGTGGCCCCACTTTGGTGTCTTGTATATCCTTTGTTTGGTTTCATTTACCAAGCTTTAGGTGAGGGTGTTGGTTAGTTGTAGAGCCCTTGCCAAGTATGGGCAAGACCCTGGATTATTATACCCTAACTCCTCCCCCCCACCCCTACACACACAAAAAGAGAGGAGAAAAAGTACAAAGCCTATTCTTAGCCACTTGGGTTGTAGTTTGCAAACCTTTGATTTAAATCATTTCTGGCTCTACTTTCTTGTTTCTGCACTCTCAACAAAATTATAAGTTCTGTCGAGTCAGAAATGTTATATTTTCTTTGATCCTCATTGTTTTAGTACAAAGACTTGCATAGAGTAAAACTAGGTACTTTGATATCATTAAACACTAATAAAAATAGCAAACACATATATAAGCCTTACTAATATCAGGGTATGTATTTAATCCTCTCAATTCTATAGAATTGTCCACATATTACTAAAAGCCCTGGAACAGAAAGGTTAAATAACAGGCTGGGAAGGTGGTGCAGTGGTAGAGTGCTTGCCTTGCATGCATGAGGCCCTGGGTTCGATTCCTCAGCACCACATAAGCAAAAAGAAAAAAGCTGGAAGTGACGCTGTGGCTCAAGTGGTAGAGGGCTAGCCTTGAGCTGAAGAGCTGAGGGACAGCGCCCAGGCCCAGAGTTCAGGCCTTATGACCGGACCCCCCCCCCCCAAAAAAAAAAAAAAGGTTAAATAACTTGCTTAAGGTCATACACCTAGAATTGAGCCAGGATTTGAACTTGGGCTTTAGAGTCTGTTCTCATAACCCTGACATAACCTAGTGTTGCTCCATCTTTCAATGCCATGTAGTCCCTGTGCCTTCCCCTCCTCCCAGATGCCTCTTCATGCTACTTAAGCCTGACATTATCTTTATGTTTCCACACCTCAGATGCCTTTGAAGCCTAGCAAATGATAGTAAAAACCCCCATCTCCTATAGTCTCTTTTTTCAAGCTGTATTTTTTTTTGTCGGTTATGGGGCTTGAACTCAGGACCTGAGCGCTGTCCCTCAGCTCTTCAGCTCAAGGCGAGTGCTCTAGGACTTGAGCTACAGTGCTACTTCCGGTTTTCTGAGTGTTTATTGGAGATAAGAGTTTCACGGACTTTCTTGCCCCCGCTGGCTTTGAACTGCGATCCTCAGATCTCAGCCCCCTGAGTAGCTAGGATTACAGGTATGAGCCACCCTCACCCGGCTCAAGCTGTATTTTTTGTTGCTTGCCCAAGAACTATGTAGTCCTATTTTTTTTGGTGGGGGAAGGTTATGAACTACAGAAAAGTATAAAGAAAATAAGTACAGCTCTAAATCTAATCATGTTTGGATAGTGTTGATGTTTTTCTGTGTGTTGTTCTGGATTTTTTAATGCATTTGTATATTTGTAAAAGATATCTATCTATCTATCTATGGAACTATACTGATAGTCTATAAAGAATGACCGAAGAGACATTTATATTATATGTTGCTGTATATCAAATTATACCCAAATCTAGCATTTTAAATCAACTCATTTTTGCTATTTCATGTATTTTCCGGAGGTCAGAAATCTAGGGTGACTTAGCTGAATTTTCTGATGTTAGAATTTCTTAGGATGTTCTCAGCATGTTGGCTGGCACTGTAATCATCTGAAGGCTTACCTGCAATAGAGTATCCTGCTTCCAAGTTCAGTCACAAGGCTGTTGGCAGAAAGGGGCAGTTCCTCAGTACATGAACTTCTTCATGAGGCTTGTGATCTGCCAGCTGGCTCCACTCAAATATGATCTGACCGAGCCCAAGACAGAAACTGCAGTATTGTTTGGTAGCCTAATCTCAGACATATTATGCCATCACTTCTGACAAACTCTTTTAGTTTAAACAATCCAACTGGGCTTTACTATGGAAGCAATCATACAAGAAACAATGTGGCCACCAAGAGGTAGAGATAACTGGGATCAGTATAGAGGCTGGCTACTGCAGCCCTCATTTACGAACCTTGAATTTTTAAAAGAAAAAACGGGTTTTAAAATTAACAGATTTTATACATTTTTAATGCACAGTAACAAGTCTTTCCACCTTTGTTTTCTAGTTCTCAATTTCCTTTCTTTCAGTTAACAATTTTTAACATTTTTGTACTTCCAGGGTTTATTTTCTACTGATAGAGGAAATGTGCATGATTCCCGCTGTCCCCCCCCCCCCCCCAATATGAGCGATAGCTTGCATTTTATACTGTTTCATACTTTGCTTTTCTCACTTGGTAATATAGCTAAGAAAGATTTCTGTGTTGGTACTTAGTCATCTCCTTATGTTTTACAGCGACATGACGTATATATATATATATATATATATATATATATATATATATATATATATATATATATATATTTGTGTGTGTGTGTGTGTGTGTGTGTGTGATGTAGGGGGTCAGTTATAGGGCTTGAACTCTGGGCCTGGGCACTGTCTGTCCCTGAGCTCTTCAGCTCAAGGCGGGTGCTCTACTACTTGAGCCACAGCACCACTTCTGGTTTTCTGGTGGTTAACTAGAGATAAGAGTCTCACGGAGTTTCCTGCTCGGGCTGGCTCTGAACTGTGATCCTCAGATCTCAGCCTCCTGAGTAGCTAGGATTACAGGTATGAGCCACGAGCACCTGGCAAAGCAGTATTTTAGTTATTATAGCATGGTTTATTGACCCAATCCCCTCTTTGTTGGTTATTTTAATCTTTTACTGTTACACTAATAGGTCATGTATATAATATTCATTATGTAAGTTCATGCAAATGAAATTTTTGGATTACAAATTGGGTGAAATTATAGCATTAATAGATAATTATCAAGTTTCTATGTATAGAGATTGCACTAATTCACACCATTGACCAACAAGGATATGATAGTGTGCATACTCTGGCCCATACAGTGTATCTTAACCTTTGAGCCTGCTAACTTAACAGTTATAACTCTATGGTTTACTTTAAATTTCTCTTATGAGTGGAATTGAAGATCTTTTTTGTATATGTAAGAGTAATTTAGAGCTGAGTATGGTGGCACATGCATGTAATTTCAGTACTAGAGAGAAGATTATGAGTTCAAGGTCAGGCTGAACTACATAGCAAGACCTTATCTCAAAAACAAAAAAGCTGTGTTGGGCTGGGAAGGTGGCAGTGGTAGAGCGCTTGCCTTGCATGCCTGAGGCTCTGAGTTCAATTCCTCAGCACCACATAAGCAAAAAGAAAAAAGCCAGAAGTGGCGCTGTGACTCAAGTGGTAGAACGCTAGCCTTGAGCTGAAGAGCTGAGGGACAGTGCCCAAGCCCAGAGTTCAGGCCCCATGACCGGACCAAAAAAAAAAAAAGCTGTTTGTGAGTTGTTTATTTTTTTTCTTGTGAACAATCTGTTCCTATCTTATGCCTATTTGTTTGCTTTAAGTCTCAAGTACTCCAAAGTTTGTGTGTGTGTGTGTGTGTGTGTGTGTGTGTGTGTGTGTGTGTGTGTGTGTGTTTTCTAGTAGCAGTTGAAATTACATTGCTGACATGGTGCTTCTACCTCCTAAATTCTTTAGTATGTAGCCCCTTCAAATGCAAACATTCCACAGTGTATACATAGCACAGTCTTCAACGTCAGGAGGTTAACAGTGGTTATACAGTCTGCTTCTTTGGGCTTAAACTCTGGAACAGACCTGCCTGTGTTC